CTGCTCTGGTCAGTGGACTGTGATGGGGAAGAGTATACACAGATTAAGTCGTCTGCCCTTCGCCCCCACATTCAGTAGCGAGATGCTTGTAAGAGTTCTGATACATCGGTCTTGCCAAATCACATTATCCTCACGTTTCTAGTTAAAATAGTTACATAGGAAGGGAGTCCACGCTCAACATAAATCCACATTACACTGTTTTTGAGCTGTTGATTGATTGGTCTCCCTTCTCTCTGAGCTGTCAGTTTGGCTGTTTGCAGCACAGCTTTTATACGTTGACCAGCCATGCTGCTTCTCACACCTGAGCTTGCCTTCTACCAGGTGCTGTAGCGTGATTTAAGGCATTATTTGGGTTGGGTTGTGCTATTTCCTTGAGACGAGATGAGACAAACGTCAGCTTTTTCTACTGCATCCTCTCAATTAAAGAGGCAGACAGTAAGTAAGTCTTAAATTCTCCCCAGTTTCTCCCCTCTTCTCCACTAAATAAAATCAACATCTCAGTAATGTTTCTAATAATGAATCATTTTCTAACATTCAAGACTTTTTATGGATCTTGCTTAATAATAGCATTTGCTTCAGTTCTAACCCTGGTTATTTAAAGAGAATTTAAAATTTGTAACTGGATAAGTCGCCCCAAAATCGAGTGGCTTAAACTAACAACGATTGTTATTTCTGACAGTTCTCTGAGCCAGGAATTTTGACAGGTAACTAATGGCACGGGTGACTTGTCTCTCCTCCAGGATGGCTGGGGACTGGAGGTCGCTGTCTCTCCCTCTCCTCTCTCTGCATAGTCTTTACCGTGGCAGCCTTCTTGCATGGTGACTCGGGACTCCAAGAGGAAGGGGCCCAGACTGCAAGGTTCCTTGTGATCTATCCTTAGCACTCCGGAACATGCCTTCCGTCACTTGGTATTGGTCAGACAACTCTTCTAAAGCCAGCCCAGGTCTGCCGTTTGGAGACTTAGACTCGCCTGTGATAGGAGGAGTATCAGAGTATGTTTGGCTGTCTTTACCACAGCAACTCAATAGGGTGTTGTTGCTATAGACTCACATTAACATTCTAGGTCTTATTCGATGAGAGTAAAAACTTGTGAAGAAGTTAGTAAATTTAGTAAAAAAAAAAAAAGCTGAGAAACTTAAATTTCTGCTTTTTTTAAAAATAGAGAATGTCTTGGTATTTGTAAATTTACAGCCTATATCAAAGGACTAGAGGAAATATGTAGAACATTGTTAGATGAGCTAAAATAAACCCCGCATATAGTTAGACCTTTGTTAAAGTACAGCAAGGCAATGTGACCTTTGTTCTCGTGTTGTGTTTTCAGTGAAGAGTCTTTTTAGGACTGTCCAGCCACTTGACTGTTTCACAGACGTCCCCACACTAAAGAAATCTCACGTGTGTAATTGTAATGGATCTATATGTGTAAAGTTAAATCTGAGTAATTTCTGGAATGAGCCAGATGTCCAGCTCACCTTTGTTACATGATACATGGATTTGAGTTAACCAGGAGCTCTTAGAGGAGGCTGGCTGCCACAGGACAGAAAAAGCTGTACTCAGATGCGTTATAGAAAGAAGAGCACATACTAAAGTTCTCTGTGTTCTGCCTATTTTTGCAGGCTTAGAACTTTTAAACTGCATCATCTTGACCCAAGCAGAGACAAGTTCTCCGCTTTCTGTTTGGTCTTGACACTTTGATCTAACAGGTCTTTGTAAAATGCCAATTCTGGCATGTCATCTGTATTTCATTTTCATGGAAATCTGAACTTAATAGAGAAAGTGGATATAATTCCTTTATAAGATTCCATTAAACCAGTCATTTTCAATTTTATGGCCCCCTTTCCCCTGCTCAAAATAAAAGAAAGCGTATGTAACGTGGAAAGAGGACTGGCATGTGCAAAGCAGAGCTGCCCCCCCGCCCCCTGTTGGAACTGGTAAAATTCATGACTCACACCTCTGTAGCTCCTGAGGCTTTAGATTACATTTTTATTAAATTAGATAAAATTTAAAATTAATAAAATTTTAAATTTTATAAGTAGTTTCTGAATTAACTCTTAAGTGATACGTGCTGAGACTTGGGGAGGGAGGACAGAAAACTTAATTAGTAGATATTTCATGGGTTGATGAACTTAGGTCCTTGGATAGAAACTCAAACTCCATTTTTCTCCCTAGGTAATTAAACAGGAGACTTTTTCTTGGTTGTTAAATTTTGCTCTTAAAATTTGATTTTGATTATGAAGCAAACTACTTTCTCATAGTTGCTTCAATATAATATTTGTGGAGGCAACAGGATAAAATTGCTGTTTTGAATTTCCATTTTTTAATTGTGGTAAAATATACATAACAAAATTTGCCATTTTAATCCTTTTTGGCTGTCCACTTCAGTGGCGTTAAGCACATTCGCGCTGTTGTGCAACCGTCACCACCATCCGTCTCCAGAGCTTTTCTTTTATCCCAAACTGAACCTCTTTGTCCGTTAAGCAAATACTCCCCAGTTTCTTCTCTCTCTGGCCCTTGGTAACCACTATTCTACTTACTTTCTCTATGAATTTGACTCTTCGAGGTACCTCATCGGTGGAATCATACAATATGCGTCCATTTGTGTCTCTCTCAAACTTATTTCACTCAGCGTAATGTTCTCAGGGTTCACCCATGTTGTAGCATATATGAGAATTTTTTTCCTTTTTAAGGCTAATATTCAATTATCTATATACCACATTTTGTTTATTTCTTCATCCATTGATGAACCTTTGGGTTGTGTGCTTTCGGCTACTGTGAGTAATGCTGCAGTGCACGTTAGAGTGCAGGTTATCTGTCCGAGTCTCAGCTCTTTTGGATGGACACCCAGAAGGGGAATTGCTAGATCATCTGGTGATTCTGTGCTTCATTTTTTGAGGAACTGCTTATACTGTCTTCCATAGCAGCCTCAGTAAGTTACATTCCCACCAGCAATGCACAAGGGTTCCAGTTTTTCCATATCCTTGCTAATACGTTTCTGTTTTTTAGATAATAGCCATCCTAATGAGTATGCAGTAGTATCTCATGGTTTTGATTTTTTATATCCCTCATGAAAACTGTTGTGGTTTTTTTTTTGCACATTTTGCACTTATTTATATTTGAAGGTGTGTGTTATTTTTAATTTATGAACCACATGTAAGCAGAGTAGAAAAATATTTTGTAAGAAATGGCTGACCTAGTCAACTAAACTTCTTCCAATTAACACAGGTATTTGAAAGGATTACAGTGCTTTATTTTATTTTTTTTTTTAATTTTTAAAATACTTACAGCATTGTTACGCTAATGTTTTATTTGTAGTAAGTGATTATATAGTCTGGGTTAGGATATACATGATTTTGTTATTGTTAGAGGAATTCCTATATCTACCTTTTTAAAATCAGTAATATTGAAAATTGGTGAATGCCATCATGCTAAATGTTTCAGAAGTTGGATTTTGACTTAGGAGATCTGTGCTCTTCTTTTCATTAAGTGATTCTGTGTAGACAGTCTTTATTTCCTTTGTTTTCTAGAGGAAGACGAACTGCTATATAAGGCTGATACTTAGCTCCCAAGAGTAACTAATGTGATGCTTTTTATTCCCAGAAATGGAGCTGTCAACTGACAACTCATACTCATTGTCAGGCCAGGATGCGATTAGACAGCAGAACAAAATATTTTAAATTAGGATTCTTGGGAAGTTTAGGCTCTTCTTGTTTGCTTCATTTCTTTATACAGTTTTAAAACACGAATGTATATTTATTACAGATTTATAAAATTGTAATTCATTTTTGAAACTGAGGTGATTTTGGTCTCAGAAGTGTTTTAAGATTCTGATTATGGAGGAGGGGTAAGGTGTAGTTTTGATAAAGAACTGTTAAAAGGCTGTTTTATTGTTCGGCTTCCCCAGTGTGTTACAGTAACAGCGTACACATGAAGATGATACACATGAAGATGCTTTAATTCTGGAGAGCCGTATATAAGATTAGCATGCTCTTTATTACTTGAAGCAGCTGTCCTACGAACTCCAGTTCACTAATGATTGACTGAGCAAACTCAGATTTATTGCACCCAGTAGATGGTTTAATTTTAGTAGTACACTCACTGTCCATGCATTCTAGAAGAGTTTAGAAGGGTTCGGCATGTATTGATACCTTTTGTAAAACTTTTTCCTAACAAGGCAACTTGTTAGACTATCACTAAAATCAAGTAATGAATTAAAATTGTGTAATAATTAATGTAAAAAATACCAATATCCTTACATATGGGGGATTAGCATAAAAGGTACCATCTCTTTTTATATGTGTTCCTTCAATTCTGGTTCACTTTGGTATAGAATTGAAATCATTGGCAATTCTAAACAGTAATATGCAGTATGTCCCAAGAAAACTGGGATAGTGAATAATTGGTAGAATATTATTGTTAAATGGACATAAATATTGATACTTCTTCTTTTCCTTACTGTTTTGACACTTTGTGCCCTTACTGTTTAATCATCTATTTGATCTCTAAAAATTGCAATTAGAGTAGTTGCTATTAAAAATGTAAGAATCTAGAGGATGTCAGATAAAGACAAATATGATCTCACTTATGTATGGAATTTAAAGAACAAAATAAACGAGCAAACAAAACAGACTTATAGATAGAACAAACTAATGATTGGCAGATGAGAGAGAGGTTGGGGGGCTGGATGAAAAAGATGAAGGGATTAAGAGATACAAATTGGTAGCTATGAAATAGTCAAAGGAATATAAAGTGTAGCAGAGGGAATATAGTCAGTGATATTGTAATAACTAAGTATTGTGCCAGGTGGGTACTAGACTTATCGGGGGGGGGTCACTTCGTCAGTTACATAAATGTCTAACCACTATGCTGTACACCTGAAAATAATATAAAGTAATATTGTCAACGGTTATGGGAAAAAAATATAAGACTTTAATCTGGCTTATTTTTATGGAATTTACTATTCTTAGTCTGTGATGTAGATTGACATGTGCCCCTTTCTCATCTAGAATGACTCTGCTCATGGTGATTACATGCAAAGTGCCGAGGCCAGTTTAACAGCAGAACAAGCCCCGGTATCTCATGACGGACTTACTGTGGCACCTCATAGAACACAGCGAGAAGGTATGCTGTATTCTTTGTGTGAACTTAGAGCATCTATACCTGGAAGGACTGCAGAGTGCTGATTACTTTGGTTAACTCTAATTCTTCTGTCTCCTTTTTGGAGTAGAGAAATCCTACTGGTCCTGGGTTTAGCTCAAATGCCAGCTCTTCCACTTCTTCTGAGTCTGCATCTGGGCTCTTGCTCTGCAGTGCTTGCTTGCAAGGCCTGTCCTAGTGCATGCTTACTTGGCTCTGCCTTGTAGTCAGTTGTCTTAAATCTGGTTGCATATCTCTGGAGGGCAAAGACCTTAACATATTCCCAAAGTATTTAATATCTTTGTAGAACGTGCTCAGCTTCTACTGAAAAAGCGAACTTTACAAAAGGTCACTGGAAGAGAGTTAAGACATTTCTTACAAGTCTGTGCTTCCTGCGGTAATGCCGTTTTCAAGAGGGCTGGGATGGGGGATTAAAAAGACATTGCCATGTGAAAAAAAAAGTTGAGATACTCTCTTCTTTTAGCATTTCCCTAAACCTGTGTTTAGGGAAAAAATTGAAATGGAAAATGTAGACTGCCACCTGGGCAGCCTTGGAAGAGTGAAGCATAGACAAAAAGCATCACATCCATTTATAACAGCTTTGAATTAACAATATGTTGTCTGTTTTTAGTCCCAATAATAATCCTTTTTGTGTAATACATTTTTTCTCACAGGAGAAAAAAGGTATGAATGTTTTCTTTTTAAATTCACATATTTACCTTTTCTATTCAAGACTATGAAACTATTTGAATCATAGACTGCTTCAGCCAAGCTCACTGAACATGCGAGTACCTAAAGCAGAATTTGGTTTTACAGCAAAGGTCCTTTTTTAAAAAACAAAACAGAACAAAAAACAAAGACTACATCAAAATGGTAACAGTTAGGGTCATACTATAGATGATTTTTCTTACAGTCTTAATTTTTAAACAAATGTTTGTAGTCTGTGCTTTTCGGTTTTAATTTACGAGGGTTGGAGGACGATCTCCCATTAGCAGCCATTCCTCACCACATACTCTTTTGTCTTACTCATTTTGAGTAAGATTCTGGTAGATCACAGATCAAATCAAGGCTGAAGACACAGCCGTAGGGGTTCCCGTTCTCCATAATGCCCCAGTTGTCTCCTACCTGTGACCCACTGATCTGCAGGAGTAGAGCTGCTTTTTATTTCTGAACATAGAGTAGTTCAGATGGCTTTTATTTAATAGCATCACATAACGTAATAGAAAAGCTTTTGAACGCAGCAGACCCCTCGTTCCCCACTTGGGCCTTTCTGATGCTGCGGCAGTTGAGGCGGAGCAGCCTTCTTACCTGGCTCCTGAGATTTTCTCTTGTCTCCATCATCAGTATTTCTCGCCCTCTAAGGGCCCAGAAGCAGGCCACCACACACTGAACGTTTGAAAGTTGGCACCAAGTACTGGTAATGGTATTGTCTTAGTGTATTACGAATGTCTTTACCAGCCAGTTTCGTCATCTTAGGTTTCCTGCTTTCTCAGTGCCCGCCTTCTGTGATCTATAACAATCTTAATTCTTCCTGTATACTTTCGTTGCTTTGCATATTCTACTTCTTCTATTTTAACTTCTTTCTCTAAGGCATAGTGAATCCTTCCGTCCTCTTCTCCATCCCCTCCCTGTCTCCTAAATTCAACTGTGACCCTAGTCTGTTGAGTCACTTTCCTAGCTTCTTCCCTGTGACCTTCATTATCTTCATTACAGCCAGCCTCATAATTGTTTAAGTATTTCTTTTGAATGCCTCCAAAGTGCTGTATTTGTAGTAATCTGAATAAAAGGTTTGAAGATTATCATCTAGAAAAAAATCTTTACTGTAAGTGCCTTTTATTATCTATCCTTTTTATCTTTGGTGCTTAGCAGAGTGCTTGAAACTACTTAGTCACTCAATGCCGAATGGAGATAGGAAGAAATTACTTCATGGATGGATGGCACATCGCAATGCTTGTGGGGTTTTTTGCTTTATTTCATGACTTAAGGGCAGCGGGAAAGATGGAGATAAGTAGCTTAATCGTGGAGCATTTGTCGCATTGGGTGACTGACGCACCTCTCTCTATAGAACAGTCAGCATGTTTTCTTTCTTTCAGCTGTACACATTGAGAAGATCACGTTGAAAGGAGTCCAAAGAAAAAGGGCTGACAGATATTGGGAGTACACCTTCAAAGTAAGCTACTCTCACCCACAAAAGATACTTCGCATACCCTGTTAAATGAGCTTTTATAAAGAATTAAAATTAATCTTTGGAAAAACTGGCGGCAGGTTTAGTAATTTACAAAAGCTGTGCATATGTACATGTTTGTCTTAATGAAGGGAGTATACTGCTTTCGGTGTTACTACATGGTTTGCCAAGTTTAAAAATTGTACCACATTAAAATGACTGACAGTTCTGCTAAAAAGAAAGAAGAGCCTTAGATTTAAGGTGTAAGATACATCTTTTAAAAAGTAAAGGTAAACATTTTCACCAGCTTTTTTTAAATCAGAATCATGGGCTTTGTCTTTTCCTGGCGTTGTTTTCCCTGATGCTTTTCTCCTCTTTTCCTTTCTCCACGATGGTCTTATTCTGTGGCCATTGTTGCCTTGTCTTCTTATCTCTAATCGCTGTCCTGTCATCCTGTCTCAAATAACTCTGAGTACCCGCAGAGCCTCGTCTCCTCTTTGCCCGTTCACTGTAACATGGATTCCTTGTCCACATCTTCCTTATTCCTCCCTGCTTGGGCTTCCGGCTCTAGCCTTTTTTTCCTAAGCTGACTGTACCTTTAAGCCACGTGGAATGATGCCACGTTTCTGTGCTTCTTCACTTCAGTTCCTCTCCAGAGGTGTTGCTTGCCAAACTTTAGCTATATATTACTCATGATATCATTTCTGATCCTCCAACAAAATCATTTTTTATTCATCTCAGGTACACTACCATCTTATCTTTCATAGGTTCTTACATTTGGGTTAGGTGTTTTTTTCTTTACAGTAGGTTATCATCTCGTGGAGAGCAGAAGTCTCCATCTTCTGTCATCTCACCATACCTGACTCACTCAGTTCAGTCATTGAATGAATTTCAGAACTCTGGCTTCCTCTTTGTGGGAGAAATAGCCTCACTTTGCATATTTTAAGTTCTTATCTCCATGTTTTTTACCATTTGGCACAAGCCATGTTTGCTTTCTTTGTTGAGTTTCACCAGCTCTTCTTTTGTTGCTGGAGCTCTTAGCTTGTTCCTTCCTTAAGGTCTTTGTCCCCTTGCTCTGGAAAGATCTACCCCCAGACCATGACACAGCTGACGTCCCTTCAACTCACAGACTGGCTCAAACGCTCCCTCCTCTGAGGGATTTTTCGGCACCCGTCTGATGTGCTTCATCCTGCTCCCACACTGGGCCCTGTTCGTTTTCTCTGGAGCACTGACCAGTGATGGGAATCCTTATATATCTATCCATTCGCTTTGATCTGTCTCTTGCACTAGACTCTGACCTCAGCCAGCAGAGGCTTCAGTTGTCTTGTCCACTCTATGTCCCTTTCACTGAGAACAGTGTCCAACATACTGTTAAAGACATGTCAGTTAATATGCATATTTGCTTTGAGGGTTGCTAGAAAAAAATTTATATGTACAGCAGGTCCTCAAATAGCATCGTTTCATTCAGCATTGTTTTTGATAAATGTTAATGAGATGCCTTAGGAATTTAACCCTTGTTTACATCAGTTAGCCTGTGGTAAAATTGGTTTCATTTATATGTTATCTTCTTTAAAGTCACAGAACGTATTGCTGACATTGAGAACTGTATTTCTAAGTATCTGATTATGATACCATTAGTTGGCAAGGCTTAGATATAAGCATAGTTTAAGTATTTACTTAGCTCAAATAATTATTATAAAGTAGAAATTATTAGTGGCCCACCATAAGGTCCACCGAATTAAGGTATAAAGGTATCCAAGAGGTAAAGAGGCATAATAGATTTCATTTCTGGCTCTTCTGCTTACTGAGGGTCAGACCAAAGTACGTGAATTTTTTTGTTTTAGTTTTTCTATCTGAAAATGAAGATAGTCATACCTGCCCCATCCATCTTAATAGGATTTTAAAGAATTGAGATAAAGTCAATATCTCTTCATAAACCACAAAGCCCCATAAAAATACAATATGGCGTTACCAAAGAAGGGTGATAAACACTAGCTATTTCTCTTAGAAATGTATATTTCATAAGTTCCAGGATATAGAATTTTTCTCTTTCTTGGGGCATGGATCTGTACTGTCAGAGTCATTTAGAGTCCTGCCACTTCACAGAAAGGACTGTAAGACATTTCCCTTTCTGAAAAATTACTAAAATATAGCCAAATTTTTAAAGAGCTTTTTTAAAAAACCATGCAATTTGAAAAGTTATTTAAAATTTTTTTGAGAATATGTCAATGTGCAATTAATTTTAACAATTTTGAAGAAATTATGACAATGCCAGGTTAACTTTATATTTCTAATAGTTAATCAATTTAAATGAGGCCCTTTGTTTTACACATGGCTTTTTTCCAGCCATTTTACTCCTAAGAAATAACCATATGTGTGTTTTTTTTAAATCAGGTAAATTGGTCTGATCTTTCAGTTACAACAGTAACAAAAACTCACCAAGAACTACAAGAATTTCTACTGAAGGTAAAAGTATAGATTTTATTGTTAAACTGATTTTCGTGTAATATACAGAATCCAAAAACATTAATATCAGAAACACCAGGAAAATTAAAACATATATTATAAAGGTTTTGGAGAACTCTCCATAAATGTTAGCTGTAGAAAATATCCTGTTATTATAAACATAAGTTTTCTTACCTTATGTTACCAATATAGGGAAATAATGAAGGGTTTTCCCCATATAAAAAAAAAAAAATGGAACCTTGTGCCTGCTTCCTTGCTGAGATGTGTATTGTTGTTGGCTGCTTGCAAGAATACTTCCTATGAAAAGAGTGCGTTTGCCAAATGAGATGAAGCGTGTTTGCATTTGCCAGTGGTTCTCAGACCTAACAGCTCTTCAGCTCTCAGTGGGCTTTCCTAAATAGATGTCCATTTGTTCTTCTTTTGAGTTCCAGGTCCCCCTCTACTCCCCACACTGATAGAATCTCCAGAGTATTGAGAATAAGAGATAATGGAAGCATAGACTTGCAGAGGTGAAAGGTATCAGGTCATTTTGTTCAAACTCTTGTCTGTTTCTTTTATACTTATTTTATTGAAAAGTGTGTGGGTAGAGATAAATATTAAAATAAGGGAATAGATTTAAATGGTTAATAAAATAGTATTTCTCTATAAGCAAATATTTTAAAATTTATTGTTTATAGGAAGATAGAACAAAGCCCAGAAAGAGGAAACATGCCCAACTCATTTACTAACTTAGAGATAAAGATGTGACATAGTTATTGAAACAGTAACAGCTGAAATTTTCAGGGTAGTGCTGGTTTTTTTTTAAGTTGTGTGCTTGTCACTATAAATATATACTTTCAGAGCACGTGGGACTCTCTTCATTCTGAAAGCTAAGAGGCTATTTGTCACCAGCTTGCAGAGCTTTGAGCAGCACAGTAGGTGCTGGCTCTGAGGAGCACACAGTTCGATGTGCTGTCAGTGTTAGTTCTGCTGGTTGAGAATACTCAGTGACAACTTGAATATTTCCATTTACCTGTGGCTTATTTTATACCGACTCTTGGATAAGGAATGAGAACTCCCTTCAGCCCCTTCAAGCTATTGACCTAATTGCATGTAAAGATTGGGGCATCATTAATTTCCAGTCGCCGAAGGTCATACGCATGTGACATGTTAGCCTCAGACAGCATGGGGAGGAAGGAGAGAGCGGTGGAAGGAATTGGGTGCGTGAGCACTGCTGTTCAGGGAGAAGGGCCATCAGCACCCCCGATGAGGAAAGGCAGGCATGCCTCATCCCACTCGCACACGCGCGCTTTTAAATAATCTACTTGTTTGCGACTTTTCTCTCTTGGTAGAATAAATTCATCAAAGTTTAAGTGCACACAGTCGTGAGCAGGCTTCATCTGGGTTAGAGAGGAACGTGCTCTTTCTTCTGATGCCCTTTCCATGGCAGGATTCTGATGTCGGCGGGTAGGCTAGAGAGCTAAGGCTGAAACGCCTTGCAGTGTGGAGTTGGACAGGGTGGGGGTCCAGCACTGCCGCCTCTCAAGGCAGGTTACGTAATGAGTTTGGCTTAGGTGCTTTAAAATATTACAGCCCCAGTAATTCTTAAAATCCTTCTTAAGAATTTTGGTAATTAATGATCCTTCCCTGCTTAGCCAATGTTTGACTATATATAGTATTTTCTAAAATAGGACACATGCCTTATCACGTTACATGAAATTATCTGCAACATCCTATACTTCTAGAAACTAACTGCCTGTTATAAATTACACTTTTTAGTTTATCATCTTTTTTCTTTCTTACCTTCCTTTTAAAATCATGGACAAAAGAGCAAAAAGTGTCTTTTTGACAAGCTACAAGTAGATTCTAGCTTGTAGATGCTGTTTAACTGCACTTCTCGTTTGCTACAATGCGGAAGAGTGAGTCTGAGGTCAGTGCTTTCAAATCCTTTTTTCCCACGTAAAAGGCAGCCTCTGTCCTCCGCATCCTCCTAGCCACCTTCACCTGCTGCTTTCAGCAGCTTCATCTGACACCCTGCCTGTCATTTCTCATACCCGGAATGGAAGCTCCGTGGAGACAGGGTTTTGTTTCTTCTGTCACTGTGTATGCATGGGGCCTAAAACAGTACCTAGGGGCCTAAAACAGTACCTAGGACAGGGGCAGAGTTTGAATATTGGTTGACTAAATGAATGAATGAGGACTTAACAAAAACTAAATTGTGATGAGGTCTTATAGATGGTTATCCATTAGGCCTCAGTGCTTCTAAAGAAAAGCTTGCAGTAGCAAGGTATAAATACCTTCCAGCACTCTGAGCTCGTTCTGAGGCTGAGCCAGGGCTCTGGAGGTTGAGGTTGGGTGCGTGGGAACAAAGACCCAGAGGTAAGAAAATCCAAAAGAGTGACTACCACGGAAGAGACATGATCTAGAGCTGTATTTTTAGCAAATGTGCCTTCCTCTAGCACTGGAAATAGTCTCTGGAAATTAAAAACTACTTGAGAATAAATCAGTTTGCAAATACTGATGCCTGCACATCGGCCCTCTGCCCAGTCACATGAACAGTCATTGACTAGGTAAAAAAATTGATGTCCTCCCACCTTTCTGTGTTTAGAAGAGCCATCAGCCATTCAGTAGTTGAAATAGACTTATCCATGAAGCTGGGTAGATTTTGGCTGGGTACAGGTGTTTAGGAGACATCATGTTTAAAATGGGGGTAAAATATATCTAGTGTCCTAAATCTATATTAAAGCAACACTGAAATTAATAGTCATTTTTTTGTTTGGAAAACGTGCAGATTCAGAGTTTGTTTCTTCCTGTTAGTGGTCAGAGGGCTGACTTCTGCGGTGGGTGTGCGGGTCACCAGCCTTCAGCCTCACCAGGTTAATGAAAGAACCAGGAAGAGTTTCATTCTCACATAACTTATTGATTCCATAGTCTCACTGTGCCTAAAAGTAGTAATACTTTTGCTGACTTTGTTATATTTTCCATTTCCGAATTGTTGACTCAAGATCTTTATTTGTCAAAAGAATACTTACTTTGGGATCTCAAATTAAAGATTGATATGTAAATTGACAATTTGAATAGATCGATACCTTCCTGGGGCTCCTTAGGTACTCTTAATTTTAGTGAATGTGCCAGTAATTCAGGAGTTTATTGCAAAGACTAGTTATCAAAAGTTAAATTTAAAACTTTGAATTCTCGAAAGACTTGGATAGTTAGTTTTATAAAAAGAATAAATTCATTAGGAGTTTTTTTAAACTGGTTAATAAATGACTTAAAATTTTATTTTTAGTTAAAAAATTTTTTCGGCCAAGCGATGATTTTTTGTGGTTTCTTTTATATTACTCTGAGGGTACCTTCATCATCACATCGAGGAAAAGGTGTTTTTTTTTTTAAATGTAGGTAAGATTAAGAGTTTTCACCATATCTTTCACACCCGGTTCTTTATCTGATGTATGGCATTGGTAATCTGACGTTGCCTCAGGTTCAGACGTAAAGCAGGAAGCATGAAAATGATAACTATAAAGGCAGAGGTAACACTTTTCAGATTACATTTCGAGGATAAAAAAATACACTAGCTCTGCTAGGCAAAATGTTCCCCTTATAAAGAACCTTGGTGTGGGTGTCACTGTTGTGTGGCATGGGGAACTAAGAGTGTGAGGTATGTGCAGGCGTGTCCCAGACCAGAAGCATGTCGGGTGCTGCTGGATCCCCTGCATCTTGGGGCGCCCGGGGCTGTTCCCGGAGGGCAGGCAGCAGCTTCAGTGGGGGGCACCGTGAGGTGAGGGTTAGGACAGGAGCTGCTTTTGGACGATGACCGAGCAGGAGGCGTTCATCCCCCTGTCATGCCTTTGGCTTGTCACACGTTGACCAGTACGTGAGAAGCTGAACACTGGCCATGCTCTTTTTCTTTTCTAGCTTCCAAAGGAATTGTCTTCAGAGACTTTTGACAAGACCATCCTGAGAGCCCTGAATCAGGGCTCGTTGAAAAGGGAAGAACGGCGACATCACGATCTAGAGTCCATCCTGAGGTAACGATATGCCTGACACTGCCACAACAGGGCCACACGCACACTGGGTCACAGGCTGTCCTGAGGACTTAGAATGGGGTGCTAAGGCACATCCCAGAGCTTTCACTGGAGTACTTTCTAAAGTGGACTTTTTGATATTTGTGTTGTTTAAGTCTAGGCTCACAGAAAGACACCAGACTGATTTTTTTTATCATTGTACTCTTCACCTCTCCGAAATCATAAATGAGTGCTTCTAAAATTCACAAATATTCTGCGAAACTTCTTATTTTCTCCATAAAATATTTACTGTAAAAGGCCCTTGTCCAAGAGAGCAGCTTTTGTTTTGTGTAAGTTGTCAAGAAGATTCGGCTAACGGGTGAGGAAGCGAAAGGAAATACTCCTTCCGGAACTCCTGCTCTCTGTCCAGCGGTGGTTCAGCACAGTGGTGGCGGTTGAGGTTCTCTGGAGGTGGAGGGCAGGTCTTTGCCCTTGTGAGGTTGGCGGGTTATTGGAAAAGATGGGTGTAGCTGAGGCGAGTGTTACCTGTGCTTTCGGGGTGGGGGGCAGGACACAAACCTTGTCTTGCGTTAGCTCCCAGATCACCCGTGTGCCCCTAGAGAGAGGAGGAGATGAAGACAGAGGCCGGCGAATCATTGGTGGCACAAGGGTCCTGCACAGGTGTGGGTGTGGCTATAGGTAAATTGTTTCATGATGGGTAGTGAGGGATCTTTTGCCTACTGGCTTATATTTTTTCTAAAGTAAGAGATTTTCTTAAGAAGGGGTAGATTGGCGGGGGCGGGGTCAACCGTTTAAGAGTAGAAGGCATTTGAAGTAGTTGTGTGGGGATGTGGAAAACAACCCTGGTCGGGGAACCTAGTCAGCCGGGCAAGGGTTGGAGTCCGTCAAGATTGAAGATCAAGAAATCACACTATGTGACTTTTTAAAAAATCTTTCCAGCAGTTCAGGCCCAGGTGTTAGGAAAGCATGGTTGGATTTGTCCTGGATAAGGACCTTATTGGATGTGACAAGGACAGTGGGGCAAGGGTATATTTTTTAAAAGTGTTTTTAAAAATGATGGACAGCTAGATTCTCAGTGAAAACAGCTGAGTTTGCTGGCCCAGAGAGGACACAGGTGTCGCGGGAGTGGTCAGATAAAGAATCGGGTTGAGATGAGAGTGAAACATCGGGGTAGCGAGTTTGAGGCGACAGTTGCTTGTGATGTTAGAGGCCTGGAGTGTGGTTTGGGAAATTGTCACACTCACCTCTCGCAGAGCTTCCCTTTAGGGGAGAGGAGTAAAGTGACTGGCCGAGGAAACAAGTGCTGTTTCCCTGGAATCTTGCAGTTCTTACTAATGAAGACAAAAGCAGTGTTGGCGCATACGTGGCTCAGAGTCCAGGCTTGAGCGAGGCTTCTTATCTGCCCTCTGAACATAAGACGGCCCACTTCGGACGCAGACTGCAGACTGCGCGGGAGAGCAGAGAGTGCTGTCATTTCCTGGGGGAGCGGGGGCGGGGCGGGGCAGTGAGTGTTCTCAGGAGGAGGAGGGGCCGGGAGGGAGCCATGAATGTTTGCTCTCCTGGGAGAGAAGCAGAAATTGGGAGGGACGGTATTTACGTTGAATGCCAGGGTCCAGGTTGTGACTGTGGGAGTAAATGACCGAAATAAAATAGGAGGTGGAGTCATTGGGGACAAGGCAGCCAAGCAAAGAGCTAGGAGTGTTTGGTGGTCACCCATGTGGATTTCGAAGACCCCCAGCATGATGGAAGCCTTGGAGTGAAGAAGACAGTGAGGCAGGGGCCAAAACTGAACGTGAATGTGAGGGGCGACCTGAAGGTCGGTGCGTGACTCGACCAGCCTCGGGAGTGCCCCATCCCCGCAGCCTGCACCTGGTGGGAGAGCCGATGAGTCCCTTCCACCTGCTCGGGCTGTGAAGGAAGCCGGGCCCCGGCGTCCAGCGGAATTTTACTCAGGGTGCGGGATGTGTCCACCGAGGAGCCTGAATGTTTGGGCCATCTCAGAGGGCACAGTGGAAGGGTCTGGAGCGAGAGGAGGGGCAGTGGGTCCAGGGAGTGGTCACAGCATTCCGGGGCCGAGACTGATGGAGGTGTGGGTTGTGATGGTGAGGAAGAGTCAGGCGAGTCCCCAGGTCTCCATGCTGCCCAGACTTCCATGGGCATGTGCATCCCTGGGGATCTTCCGAAAGCACGTGTGCCCGCTCCGTAGGTCTGGGGTTCTGGTGGGCTGCAAGAGATGCTGGTTCCCGCAGCACACGTCAGGTAGCAGGCCTCAGCTGTATCTGAAGGGGGCTCAGGAGGGGTTTCTGCAGCTGTGATTTTGCAGGAGGCTGGTCTGGCAGTGTGAGCCCAGTGGTCTGCACTGGAGGAGATGGTGAGGATGCCAGACAGCAGCCTCTGGGGTGTGGTGGGCAACAGAATGTTAGGATGTCTTAGGGCCAAGTCGGCATGTGCTATTACCTGGTCCTCGCTGGCTTCAGTGTGTGCTTGTCCTCAGCCAGGCATTGCTTCCTACATGGCTTCACATTTCAATCAAGGTCCTTACCTTGCCTGAGATCACATGACTGATCAGTGGTAGACTTGAAGTCCCACCTCTGTGCTTCTCCAATACAGAGTGATGAAATATAAGAAAACCTTCAGTCTGTTTTTATACAAAGTGCCTGATAAGGAATCACTTCATTTAATTTATCTTAAGTAGTTTGGGGCTTTCATGATAAATCTAATTGATGCTTAATGTAGAACATTTGGGAAATACAGAAAAGTAATAAAAAGGTGACAATTACCCAAATAGCGATTGACTTTTTTTTATTTTTCCTTTTAGCTGCTTTTGTTTGCCTGTAATACTAGTTATATAGTTTATAACCTGGTTTTACTCTCAAATTATAAGCATTTTGTTTTTTATTCTTCAGAGTAGTTTGAGTGGCTGAAGAATATGTCCCATTTGGCTATATACTCCTTTGACTGCTTCCCCCCCCCAAAAAATAAAGCTTTGACCATTTTTATGCCTCAAACTTTTCCCAGATTTATGAGTAAATACTGAGGAGAAGTTTTTTGAAATTGATTTACTGATTCAAAGAGTGTGGCCCTCTCTAAGAACTCCTGATAAATATGATACTATGTTCCTTACGGAAAAGTTACATAAGTAGCAGTGCACACTCCCAGTGTTTGAACTTGCCTGCTTACCACAGCTTGGCAAGCTTTGAGTATCATGTTTTAAAATACTTGCTAATTCGATAGGTGAATGATTATCTCATTGTCCTAATTTTTATTTCCTTTATTAGTGAAATTCAGTATCTTTCTATAAGTTCATCCATTTGTGTATTTTGTAAGATCATCTATTCTTTACCAATTTATCTTAGTGGATCTTAGTTGTTTTTCTTAGATTTTTAAACGAAACCCGTGTTAACAACTTTAGTATATAGTATTTTTTAGTTAGCTATGATTTTTCTTTAATGAAGAAATATTATGTTAGGTCTATCAGTCTTTGTTTCTGTATTCTTGTATCTCTTTACAGTTAAAGTCATTCCCAGATTTGCCATTAAATATTAGCTGTATCTTGGTAGCCATGTGGAAAACAGGCTGCAAAGCTGTCATTCCTTACATCATAGTTAACTCCAGATGGCTCAAGGTTTTAATGCAAGAAAAAATATGAAATTTGTAATCTGTGTATGAGAAATTTTTCCAAGCATCACAGTACCTAGAAACCATTAAAAATAAATTTTAATACTCAAAAATCAAAATTCTGTGTGATGTAAAAAAGAAAATACACTATAAACAAAATGAAAACAAATCTCAAGTTCAGAAAAAAAATACCGTAATAACTTTTTACTTATTAAAAAAAACTCCTAAAAGTTAGTAAGGTAATAAAAACTAGTAGTTTAAAGCAGGACAGGGAGGAAAAGAAGCAGGTATGAACAAATAGCACAGAGAAACTGGAAGTTTAGGTGCCATTTGAACATAAGATGCTCCTAATCAGAAATGTAAATTAAAGCCTTGAGTTTTTATTTAACCTGTTGAATATGCAAAGATCAACAAGTTTGGCAGTACTCTTGGTGATGAGAGACCTTAATTGATAATACTTGTACCCCTCGCTATTTGATGATAATGTAAATTTACAAGCAGATAACCTTTAAATAATAGTTCCACTTCTGTTAATTTATCCTAGATTTATATATGTAGATTTATTCCCACTTACACATGCAAAGATGAATGTTCAGGAATGTTTACTGTCCTTTTTGTTTGTTTGTTTGTTTTAAGTAGAAAAGACGAAACAACTAGATGTTGATGAGGATTTGGTTGAGTCCTGGTACATTCATTCACTGGGATACTATGTAGTCTTACCAAAAAAAGAGAGAAAAGAAAGATACATTAAGTAGTGCTGGGCGAGAGCAAGGCGGGAAAGTTAGTGGAATGTCACCATTTTAAAGAAAGGATGTGGACATGTTTGTGTGCATGGAATATCTCTGGGAAAAAAAAAATAGTAAAGAGGCTTGTCTCTAGGGAGGAAGAGGAGGTGCCCCGGGGAATGAGAGAGAGATTAACTGGTCACTTTGTAACTTCCGAGTTTGGGCCCTCTATGTTTTTTACTTATTTAGAAAAATCGAAAGCTGTTCCTCTTTAGAAACACATTTACTTTTCTTGTGTGTGATAGTTTTGTTATTATTTCTTTTAATTTTTTGGATTTATTTTTTTAAGCCCATGAGGTCAAGATCTAACTTTATTTCTCTTTCCAAACAATGAGTTGATTCTTTCCTAAATTATTGATTTCCTGTGTAATTCTTTGTCCTGCATTCTTAGGTCCGTAACATGTTTCTGGGTTTCCTATTCCATCAGTCTGTCATTCTTTTTCCAGGGTCACTTTTTAATTATTACAGCTTTATAATTTATTAATAGCTGATCTGGTTTTTCCAACTCCTGGTACTGTTACTAAAATACTCTTCCATATTCTCAGATATTCTGTAGCTTAGACAGTTATTTTAAAATGCATTGCATATGGCTCTAGGAAATATGTTCAACTGTGGTTCAAGTCTTAGTGCTAAAGTACCTAAGTCTTTTATATGACTCATTTTTCAAGAGTCACTATCAACTCCTGTCCTCTTTTCCCCTGTCCTGAATGGTGAAGTCCTAAAGCCATTCAGTGGGACAATAGAGCAAGGTGGGCAGCAGCGTCAGGTTTGGAGGATGTGGCCGAATGGATGAGAGAAAAGAACCCTCAGTGGGATGAGGAGGTCATTCACTCCCCAGAGGCGGCGGGTGGCCTGGCACAGTGTTTCATCGGACATTCACGTGAGGGTGGCCCAGCAGGGACTTGGAGCCCAGGCCAGGTCAGCGGGGCATCTACAGGGGTTGGAGGGAATGGTGAGAACCAGGTTTCTTTTATTTGGAGAAGGGAGATAAATATGGAAAAAGAGAAAACCAGAATGAACCCTGAAGTGTCCGATTGGAGTAGAAGATGTTGGTGTAAACTCATGATTTTCAGCGTACGTAAGGAGATACAGAAACAGACACGGTCGTGTGTGCACATGTGTTGCCTGGCTCTGTCCCTCACGGGGATCTGGAAGCAGCCGCTCCCTGGGAGCCGTGGGCATGCCTGGTGTCCAAAGCTTGGCTTGTAGCACCGTTCCCAGAGGACAAGCGGGTCACAGGGCTAGAGCCAGAAAAGTACAGAATGGGCCTGTTGTGCCAGAAAGCAAGGAAGTGCTCGGAATGGTGTGGCTTGGGCAGAAGGACACAGAAGCCAGCTCGAAGGGGCTTCTGGTAGTCAAATCTGGGCAAATTAGACATCAGAAGAAGTAGTAGTGACATTGAATAAAATAGGAAGCATGAGTCCCATGTCGAAATAAATAATAAACGAGTTGATAATTTAAGAAGTAGGATCTTTACAGTATCAAAGCCCCTTCCCACAAAAGAATGCTTTTTATTTACAAAGGAAAGAAGAATAACTTTAGAGTGGAGAAGCCTGACAGATGCCACTTTAATCCAGTAAAGTGAACTTGATGAGTGAGGAGTCGGTTGAAATTGGCCACTGCACAGCAGGCTGCAGTGAAAGAACACAGCCTCAGTCCCGTGGTACGCTTGCCACGAAATCTAATCTTGAGGAAATGACAGACAAACCCAAATTGTGACCATGCAACAAAATACCTGGGCTGTCCTCTTAAAGCCGTGAGAGTGAGGGAGGGAGAAAGAGCTGGATGCAGTGCAGGATCTGAACTGGGTCTTTGTGGTAAAAAGGACACTTTAGGGTCAGTTGGCAAACTTAATTGGGGTCTGAGGATTTCCTCAAGGAGCCACTTTCAAAAATTTGGCTTTTTTGGCCAAGACTGCAAATAAGAGGTACATGTCTGACTCCTTGTTACAGTTTTTAGGGGTCTCCTCAGCAGTGATCACGGTGTGTGTATGTTAAGTAACCTTTTCACTATAAAGGTGTTTATGCAAACTATTTGTGAAGAACGTAAAGGAAGATATAATGTGGAAAATCCCTAATTTTTCTTTCTCCAAGTCTACTCACTAGATATAACCTTCATTAACAATCATATGTAACTTTTCAGAAGTTTTCTGTGCAGGTAGACACCCTTGAATTTATATATTATATTTGTGTGTATTTCCTTTATTGTGCAAGTTGAATCATCCTATACGCTTTTCTGCCGCTTAGTCTTTTCATTTACTATGTTAGACTTGGTAACATGTCAGTACGTGAAAAAGACTGCCGCCTCGTTTATTATTTGCTGCATAATATTCTGTTTTTAGTTCTGTAATTAACATATTTCGTGGCTATTATGGTTATTTCTAAATATTTTAAAACCACAAACATTACAATGAATGTCTATGTGTATGTTTTGTAACATTTGGGTATATTTATTTGTAAGAGAAATTTCTAGAATTGTGGTTGGTCAGAAGTTTTGCATTTTTAAATCTGTAATATTTCCAAATTACTTCTAAGGGGGGTAGCCACACTTTATACACTAGGGGTCCTCATATTTGTATCTCCTCGCCGCAGCAAATGTAAAATACTCTCAATTTCTCGTCTTTGCCAGTTTGAAAAAGGAAGATTATCTCATTTTAATCTCTGGCCATTTGCGCTTTCCTGTGAATGGCTTTTTCAGATCTTTCCACTTTTTTATTTAGTGATTTATAAGAGTTATTTGTTATATTAGAGAAAGGATCTTTGCTTGTCATTTCTTGACCATGCAGAGTTTAAAATTTTATGGACGTATTGTAGTTGGATTTATCAATCTTTTATTTTACAGTCTCACGGTTTTGTGTCCTCTTACGATTTCAAAGTTTTGTGTCTTGCTCGGAAAGGCTTTTTTTCCCCTCGAATATTATATTTTTAATACTTCTCTTTTAAAAAAAATCTTTGATTCGTTTGTGTGGCCAGCCTGTGGTCTCAACAACATTAATAAGGGGTTAGGACACTTCATTCTCAGTGTGTGAATTTTAGATTAGTATCGTTTCTATTTGTTGCGTAAGAAACGTAGCGGTTGTAAAGTGGAGGTGGGGAACGCGAGTGAGACAGAGGAGGTGAGTTTGTACGTAACGTAGAGATGGGTTGGCGCAGGACATAATGCATTCAGTTCAAATACACTGTACATTAGGAAAATGAAAACATAGCACTGAAATGTACATTTGGGGTTGGATGATTTGTCATGTCAAAATGTAGCCCAGTTTTTTAAATTTAATTTATCAAGTAGTTTATGGCCACTTTGACCTTTTAATGTAGGTGTGATTGCCACATTGTGGTCATGCGTTAATGAACCTTGACTTCAGTGTGTGTGCTGATGCAAACCCGTGCCTGTATCTCAGGTGCGGTTCCGATAGGGGATTTGCAGTTGATATATGGAGCTGTAGGTGGGTTCTGGGCTGTCTTTTGGGACTCAAGCCTTAAATTGAAAGTGTACCTGCTTGTACTTCTGACCAACTGTAGTTTGTAAATATAACTGGATAATAAATTCCACCACTGCTTTTGGATTTTAATCCCTAGTTTTACATGATGTGTCCAGACCTGGAAGTTTAGATTATTACCTCCTTACTCATATCTCAATTTTTTCCCATCTCTTCATTTCTCCTATTGGTCTTCCTATTGAATAGCTACCTCCACATTTGAATACCGAGAAGCAATTTTGCCTTATATATACAAGACACCTTTGGCCCACAAGGGTTATTTCTTGGTATGATATTTAATAATTAATCAGTGATAAGTCAGAAACCTTGGGGAGAAATTAAAAACTGAAATTTTTAAATGAGCATTATTTTTTTTTCTTTTTCAGGCGAGGCAACCCTTGGTTAACCTCACAGATTGCAAGGACCGTGTCAGCTTACAATCCCTTATTTTTTATTTTTCATGCTTACAGCACCTGGTCTTCCTAGGTGGTCTCCCATCCACGTACTAACCAGGTCCGACTCTGCTTAGCTTCCGAGATCAAACGAGATCAGGCTTGTTCAGGGTAGCATGGTCATAGACTTAAATGAGCATTTAAGGTGTTCAGAAGCAACGTAAAGGGATTTGTATGTTGAGCAGAAGGATGACAGTTTAATTTACCTATACTGTTCGAGTGTGATAACCTTGAAGAATTGGTAGTATTTCCTGTGAGGAAATTGAAGCAGAAAGACTAGATTACTTGTTTAGGGTGATGCAGCTTTCAAGTGGGTGAGCTGGTGGTATTCAGATCCATGAGTAACCTTTCCATTAGACTGTGCTGTAACTATGCCCCTATTTTGCAGGGTCCTTTCTGTACAGAAAACCTCCAGTTGGAATCTTTTAATTACATTAATAAAATAGGAGGAAAGCTGGTTTTCAAAGATAATAGCTTGGAATCCTAGTGTGATGCACATTGGTGGATCACCAGTCAGTCATGCCCCAAGATGCAGTAATACTTGTAACTAACCTGACCACAGTGTTCCATAGTTTCCAGGACTCTTATCCCAAACTGCCCAACCTCCTGTGCTCAGTGTGGGATTGTTTTTCGTGGTAGAGCCAAACGATGAAAACACCTATGAAGGAAGAGTAAAGAAATTATAGTATAGTTTCTAAGTAGAAAGGTGGCTAATTGGACCACTTGGGCAAAAGGCTGCAATAAAACCTTACCACTAGATTATATAAAATTTAAGCCTGTTTAGATTCTTGCAAATAAGTTTTAACTTTTCATTCAGTTCCTCCTATGGGAAATATATTAGAAAATAGTATTTTTTCCCTTAGGAAAACTTTTTCATACCTGAATTAAACTGCCACTTAAGTTTGCTTTACAGTCTAAACTGAGACTTGTGGATATACGGTACCTGACGTTAACAAACCTCTTCTCTTTTCATATGCAGGCAGCTTTTCTCCACTTCATCACAAGCTTTTCTCCAGAGTCAGAAAGTGCACAGCTTTTTTCAGTCCATATCATCAGACCCTCTGCACAGCCTCAGTAAGCACCCTCCCACTCCTCTGTAAAAACCTGACGTTTTCCCTGCTCGGATTTCTCGCTTTGCCTTGCTTTCTTGTGTCAGGTGGTCATTTTATTTAAAGTAAAGAAATAGCAGCATTTAATTAAGGAACATGTGTAGTTTTAAGTGAATTTTACACGGCAGTTTTAAAGAAAATAATGTCACAAAACAGACTGATTCCAAGGCAGGAGCCACGTCTCTCAGATCTTCAGGTTCCTTGGTGGACCCGCTTACCGGTCATAGAGATGCCACAGTGCTGGCTGCATGATGTATAACATGCTCTTACAACCTCTGTTCCCCTAATGAATTCCCCAGCCTCCCAGGCTGGGAACCTTGGCCTTATATAATATTTTCATTTTTCCCCTGCATGCAGCCATTTAAAAACCAAGTCGCTCCAAACAGGGGGCCTCTTCCTTTTTGCCCTCTCTGTACTAATCCCCTTGTCAGGCCTATCTTGCGTGCGCAGAGTGCGCAAAGCCTTGCTCTTCTGTCCGGTTCTGGTTTCTCACTGTTCTCTAACCTATCCCAGGACTGTCTGGGATCAGTTTGTTAATCCCCTCTTCAGAACCAGCATTTATCACACTGCCTGTGTTTAGTTTTATGCACATCCATCTCAGCTGCCTTTCTATAACAGATATTTTGCCAGTAACTGTTGTGTGCTTTAGGAGAATTTCTGCTGACTAAGCAAAGCCACTATGCAAGCGGCTAAGTTTTTTTAATCTTCTGCTTTCAAAAAAGTCATTTCCTGTATTTAAAAGGGAAAGAAAATGCATATTTTTCAATTTGAGTTTGGAGAAAAAGAGGTAAAATAATAATGTGATTGAATATTATAACATATAGGTTAACTTTTTAAAGTTTTCTAACCATTTGTCTGTATATATATGTGCCTTAAATATTTTAAATATAACTAATGACTGTTCAGGACTAATTAAGACAAGATGGACACCTCCATGGTTAAATTTATGTCTGAATAGTGGCAATAGCTTTCTTTTAAAGAAAATCCTGATCATTCTAGAATTGCATAGATTTAACAATCAGTGCTTTCTGCTTAAAATAAGTGTAGGTACTTTTTATTGAATACCTATGAATACCATCTGTTTAGTTCTAAAAAGACATTGGAACACAAAGTTAAACTTTTAATTCAGATTTTAATAGGCCGCCCAGGAAAACTCACCCAGGCGAGTAGTACCTGTATAAATAACAGAAAACTCATCTCGAGAGCTTGGCAGTATTTAAATTACATGAGCAATGAATGCTACAGCGGCCGGTAGATTTTAAGATATCAAATTGTTGTGAATTAAAGTAATGCATTAAAGTGCGTATTTTGAGATTAAGGAAAATCTGGTCAGGATGTCCAGTCTTTTCCACCAAAGAACACGTTGTTCAGTTGCACATACTCTTTTGAAAAATGACAATTCTACCTACCTCTCCCTCCACAGAGAGCAATAGTCCATATCCTGACAACTGAGAAAACAAATGTTCACTCCTAAATGACTTAAAACATTGGACGCTGGCATCCCACTGGTCTGTATTTTGATGGAGTGGTAACCCAGTGCTATTACTGTGTGTCCTCCACAGATTGCTTGTCACTGGTCTGTAATAGAAGAACAGACACAGAGAGTAGACTGAATCTTTTGTAGCAATTTAACATTGCCACATCAACATTATTATATTTTATAAAAGTAACAGTTCACAACATATCAAATTTTAAAAAACCTTACAATACTACAGATGTTTGAGAAGCACTAATCTAGCCCATCTCCTCATGGTGGGGGCTGGCAGATGTGAAGCAGTTTGCTCCAGTCCTGTGGTTTTTCTGGGGAGAGCTGGCTTTGTGAATCAGAGTCCCTGTTCTCAGCTCAGTGTTTTGTGCTGCGTCATCCTGCTTTTTCTAAAGGTCCTACCTAGTAGAAATGTTCTCTTTGCCACTGAGTCTCCACCCTAATCTTCCTTGGGAGAAAAACAATTATTATATTGTTAATGGCATTGAATACTTCCTACAGATAACTTACAGTCCTCGCTGAAGACTTCCAAGATACTAGAACACTTAAAAGAAGACAGCTCAGAAGCTTCAAGCCAAGAAGAAGGTAAATGTTGATTCCTTGGAATAAGTCATTCTGCCTGATATTGGCACAGGGATAGGCAAACAGACCATTAGAACAGATTAAGGAGCCCAGAAACAGACGTAAGGGCGTGGAATTTGACAGGTGGCATCACAAGTAAGCGGGGGAAAGAATAGACTGTTCAGTAAGTGGTGTTGGCTGACCTTCCAATGGAAAAATAGAGAATTAGATCCCTATTTACATCATGCACAAAAATTTACATCATGCACAAAAATTTCAAGTGAATGACATTATATGTAACATTATAAACTTAATGTAATATGTAAAATGTAAAACTTAAACTTTTAAGTGTTAATAATCTGGGACAGGAAGGCTTTCTTGACAAGACAGAGTATGACCACAATGGAGCTCTTTCTAATCTAAATTAGAACTTAACATGTGACAAGAAACCAGACAAGACATTTGCAGGATATTTACAGATAAAGACTACATCCGGATTATAGAAAGATTCTCTAAAAATCAATGGGAAAATCATGCCAATTGGTAATATTTACATAAGATAGGCAATTCGTAGAAGAAGAAACTTGAGTGGTCATTATTTAGTGTTCAGCCTCCTCAGCAGTCTGGAAAATGCAAAAATAAAAACAATGAGATATCATTTCACACTCATCAAATTGGCAAAACATTTTCAATCTGACATTATTAAGGCTGTGAAGTGACGAGAACTCTCATCTATTGCTGATGGGAATATAAATTGGCACAACTATTTTGGACAGAAATTTGACACTAGTGAGGTTGGAGGTGGTTAACTTTATCCTACTGCCTAGCATAAAATTGCTGTCCGTGTACTCAGGGGACAGGACCTCGGGGCACCGTTCTGTGTAAGAGCAAATACATAGCCGTTGGTTACCCAAATGCTTTCAATGTTACTAGGTGGCAGTTAAAATACGTACAGCATATTCAAATATACCACACCACTGGATATGTAAGTAAGGACATTCACAGGTAGTTACAATAGAATCCTGGACTGGAGTACCTCGAGTAATTAACCTCTGTAGAGGGAAGGAGAGGAGTTGAATGGAATGGAGGAAGGCCTCGTTTCTTCGTAAGAAGAGAGATACAGAGATATCTGGGAGGTGGGTGCATGAGGGTTTGTTATATTATAGATATATTTTTTTAATATTTGGCACACTTCCTTTTTTAAATAGTTAAAAAGCCTGAAATTGAGTGTTGTAGTTTTGCAGCGTCATGGTCATAGTAAACTTTCTTAGTTTTGGACAAAATTGACTTGTTATTAGAACACATTTAAGAAGTTATTTAAGGAAATTTAGTCATTTGTGAAATTGAAAAATTACTTCTTTAAGGAATTGTCTGTGAAAAATGCTCTACACAATCTATTGACACTGTTACGGTCACATAAATTAGTTGCATCATCCTTTTGGAGTTTTGCAGAAGCATTTGGTATAATAAATTGTTTTTTCCTATACTCTAGATGTGTTACAGCACACCATAATCCACAAGAAACATACCGGGAAAAGTCCCATTGTGAAGTAGGTATCTAATTCCTAAAACAGAATAAATCAGTGTCATATTTACTTTAATTACTGATATATATTTGGCTATAATTCTGCCACCTTACTATTTGCTTATTATTTGTCCTGTATTTTCTGTTTTCTTTTCTCTCCTTTCTTTTGGGTGGTTTTCTATTCTATTTTTCTCTTCTTATTAGCCTTGATTGTTAAACCTTATTTTTTGATTCTTCTAGTGGTTACCGTAGAGGTTATATTGTACATCTTTGACTTATTGAGGTGTGATATTGATTGTGCTTGTACCACTTCCCATGCAATGACCTTTGACCACTGTAACTTTGTTTATCTCCTCTCAACTTACAAACTGTACCTGGCATGTATTTTAATTCCCTCCATATTTTAGACCTCATGAAACTTTTTTCATTAATTTACAACTGATCATTTCACTGTTCTCTATTCCTTCCTGTGTGTCTGGGCATTCATCTATGATTGATTTACATTTAACTGAAGAACACTTGAGTGTTTCCTGTAGTCATCTGCCAGTGATGAGTTCACTTGTTTTTATCTGAAAAAAAAAATGTTTATTTTGCCTGCATTTTTTTTTGTCGCCTCCCGTAGATTCCTTTCTGTCACCACATATTTGACCCCTTTTACCCCATCTACCTCCCTCCTCCCTTGCCTGCATTTTTGAAAGACATTTTTGCTGATTTAGGTTTCTAGATTGGCAGTTACTTTGTTAGCGCTTTGAAACTATACAGGCGTACCTCGTTTTATTGTACTTTATTGTGCTTCGCAGATACTGTGTTTTTTTACAAATTTGAAGGTAAGACTCTCTACCAGCAAAAAAGATTATGGCTTGCTAAAGGCTCAGATGGTAGTTAGCATTTTTTAACAATAAAGGATTTTTTAATTAAGGTATGTACATTGGTTTTTTTTAGACATAATGTTATTGCACATTTAATAGACTTACAGTATAGTGTACACATAACTTTTATGTGCACCAAGAAACCAGAAAATTTGTGTCATTCACTTTATTGCAATATTCACTTTATTGCTGCAGTCTGGAACCAAACCTGCAACCTCTCTGAGGTCTGCCTGCAGTGTCGCAGTCTTCCAGGCTAATGTCTGCGGCCTCTTGCATCATACCCTTTCAGCCCAGCTGACTTCCGCTGCAGATCACATACAGGATCACATAACAGTTGCTGACGAGATTCCTGACGCCCTTGCGTCATTGTTGTGCCGCAGCAAGCCCACGAGACTCTCCACCTTCTGCCCAGGGCCCCTGCTGATTCTCTGGGGCCTGCTTGGCCCTCAGACAAGCACAGTCCAGAAGTACAAGTTAATTTGCCAAGGAGTCCTCAGCTGATGGGGGATCGCCAGCTTCCTGTCCTTTGCTTAGATAATTCTGGGAGGTCCCAGCCAGTTTGAACCCCTGTCTCTTACAGTGGCACCCTCAGTAATGGACCCTCACATTATTCTGTTCTCCGCTCCTATTTCATTCTCCCCACTCCTTGCTCCTGCTTCCTGGGATCTCCTGCCAAATGAGCTGTCATCCCAGATTCTGCTTTCAGTGGGGTGGGGCGGTGTTGGGGGGAGGGGACTCAAGACAGCTGGCATCCATTGTTTCAGTTTATAGTTCCTCATCGGAAGTTAATGTACTTTTTCAAACTCTTCTTTTTTCTCATTGTCTAGTTTTCAGCAGTTTTCTTACAATGTGTTTATAGTTTTCTTTGAATGAATTCTGCTTCTTGAGTCTGAAGCTTGATATCTTTTGGTTTTTAGACAAATCTAGAAAGATCTCTTCAGACCTTGCTCTGCCCTATTCTCTTTTTCCCTCTTCTAAGACTTACAGTACTTACATGTTAGACTTTTTAATAGTCCCACACGTCTCTAAACTTTTTTGTGTGTTTTCATATTTTTTTTCCCTCTCAGTGCTTGTCTCTTCTGACAAAATTTCTTCTTCTCTGAATTTTTTCATCTGTTTCTGTCCATTGAGTTCTCAATTTCAGGTTATTTTACAGTTCTAAAATTTAAATTTGGTTCTTTTTTATATTTTCCAGTATTTTTCCAAAATTCTTAATCTTCTTGTAGTCGTTGACCATGTTAAACACTATTATTTGAAAATCAATGTATGATAAAAACTTCATTCTCCAGATTCTCTTTGAATCTGTTTTTATTGTCTAGATTGGCAGTTACTTTGTTAGCAATCTATTTTTGAAGTTACCTAACCCAATCTGTTTTTATTGTCTGTTTCTTTTTCAGTCACATTGTCCTCTTCCTTCACATGCCTTTAGATAGTACTTAGTCAGCAATTCGCTCAAGATTGCAGTCATACTCCAGCTGTAAGTGGTGCAGGGTGACCATTGCATAGAGTCCAAAAGCAGAATGTGCATTTGTTATTAATCTCTTTAGAGACAGTTATTAATTATTTAAAAGATGAGATAGTTGTATACTGCTTTATTCTCACAGTACACTTTTTTTTTCTATAGAGCTGTCACTAGGCATTCTATAAAATAATATATCAAAGAAAGGATTACTGTAGCTTTTTTGTTACATGATGCAGTAGGTTAGATCACGAGGACAGATATTCATGCTTGCGTAAATTTTTCTTTTGGTAGCGCTGTTGGTACGAGCTGTTCTCCATTAGATGGGCTCACTGTGCAGTATTCTGAGCAGAATGGAATTCTGGACTGGAGGAAGCCAAGCTGCACCACCATTCAGCACCCGGAGCACTGTGTGGCTGAGGTTGACCAGGTATTTGGGGTTTTGTTTTGTCTTAATGCCATATTGTTAAAGCATTGCTACTTGATTAGAATCAAGTTCTGTACACATTATTATGTCAGACAGTATATCTGGTAAGAAGAACTGAAAGAATGCTTACGTGTTATACTTTAAACTTAATTGGCTTAATATGATCTAAGCTCTTCTGAGAGCTGAAAAAGTATATTTAGATTACTTTTATTACTAAAAAAAATTAGTACATTTTAATATGATGCCTAAAATGTTTATTCTAACTAGGGACACATTAAGTTGTTATACCATATTTTTTTGCTTTTGAAAGAATTATTCACATTTCAGTCACTATATTGCTACTGGTGATGTGAATTTTGAAACTGACCTTCCCTCATGAATAGTTAGGCCAGTTCACCACACTTCAGTGTAATTAGGACGTGCTTGCTTTAGCGTAATCAGAAAGAGTGCCTCAAGTGTGTTTAGCTGATTTGGCAGCACCGATACAGGGAATGCTTACTGGTACAGTTATGGGGAGAACCACCTTCTCACTAGAAAATAGATTTGTTAACCAGAGTTGTATTTCTGGCCAACACTCAGAGCCAAATGCTAACCTTTACTAGAATGTGTTTTTATGAGCTAAAGCATTGAAGCATATTTTGAGAAATTGTATGTTATCTTGGCCATACTTATTTAATGGCTTATTTTCAAAGTCCATTATTTATACATTTTCTCCCTCCACTTCAGTGCCTACACCTTTTCTTCTTAGAGTTGACAAAATTGTGTGTTGCAGTTTTACCCACCTGAACTTTAAGAGAATATTAGTAAAACTATATTAAACACCAGTTGCTTAATTGTGTTTTATTTTGTGGTCAAAAGAAAGAATAGAGGTCTATTTTAAAAGCAAAATACAAAATAGATATTCTTTTGATAATTAATATTTTAAGTATTTGTCAGAAACTTTATAAAAATTTTAGCGATTTGGGTAGGTAACTTCAAAAATAGATTGAAAATCAAAATTATACAACTGAGAATATGTTATGTTAATGTTTGATATCAGAGTAAGAGGACATCTACATGAGTATGGTTTAGCTTTAGTCTCTGATTTCTTTTTTTCTTTTCACTAGCATTCAACTGAAAAACGAAACTTATCTTCAGTAAATAAGAAGAAAGGAAAGCCACAAATAGAAAAGTAGGTTCAATTTCATGTCTCTAGTAGTAGAAATCTGTAAGAAAAGGCAACATACAGCATTTGATTATGGGCATATTTAGTTTCTGTGGTATAAGTAGTATTTTTCCATTAAGTTTCTTTATATTTTTACTTCTGGACTTTAATTTTTTAGTTCAAAATAATCAACATATGCAGGTGATAAAAGTAAGGCTTTTGTCAAATATTATATTCAGTTTGGTGGGGTAAAACTGCCAGAACTGTACACTAAATCTTATATTTAGATTACACCTTATTAAAAATTTTTTAATTATAAATTTCTGATGGGAGGTTTAGTAATACCACTGTACTTAATATATTCTTTAGAGAGCCTAATAAAAAACGTTGGTAACTTGTATACTTTTGGTTTAGGGAGAAAATTAAGAAGACTGACAACAGATTGAATAGTAGAATGAACGGCGTTAGACTCTCCACTCCCCAGCACGCCCATGGTGGCTCCGTGAAAGGTGAGAGTGTTTGTCTGTCTGTCCAGTGCCCACCACCTGAGTGCATTTAGCATGGTACGTATTACAGCAGGCACTGAGCTGTTGTGTCACATCCTGATACTACACTTTTATCCTGCGTTGATGTGAATAGCGATTTCTGAATTTAAACACTTCTGAAGGAGTAATGGAGTTCATGTAGGAAATGTGATTCAGCCGTGGATGTGAGCATTCCCTTCACCGCAGTTACACCAGCCCACAGTTCCCGCCCTCGGGTGCCAGCAGTGTCCTCACTCGCTTCTGTCCCCGCCTCAGAGGAGAGGTCCAGGGGGCCGGGACCCATTCCCAGAAAGTCGTTGATTTTTTTCATGTTTTAATCACTGTCCTCTATGGATTTTATGGGGCTTAGGGCAGGCAATTCAGACCCTCGGATTTTTGTCGTTTCAAAGTTGTGTGGTTTCCACTTACCCATCATTATTTTATGATTCTTTTATTTTTAGGTGAGAAGTTTTGTGTTCCTTTAACTGAGAAATGTCCCTTCTGCTGCTTCATTGATAACTTTTCCATGTTATGTTGACCTTTACTATTAATAGTAAAGATAAAAAAAAGAATACAAGCCCACAGACCTCTAGGAGAATGCTTTGTTCACTGTTTACCTAACGCATTTGTTGGCTAGACTTATCTCACAAATAAGGATTTTTGAAATTTAGATTTTATTCAAATGTTAGTACATTTGGTTCTGATGCAACATAAATAAACAGAATAATTTTTTAATAGAGCATATTTTTAATTAGATATTTATATAGAGATTGAATATTGATAAAGGAAATATAGTTAATTTTAACTCTAAAATCATCAGGCTAACTCATTGAATTAATTAACTGAGATGTCTTTGGGGCAGGGGAAATGACAAGAAGAAAACCCGTGTTCTTTATGAGTGTATTGTAACACTTAGCTGTGTTTGAGTTTTCCTGTGGTGATGGCAGCTAAAAGAAGAAAGCAGAAGCTAAAATAAGACAAAAGATCTCTCTCGGTGGATGAGTCTTCTCTCAGATGTCCTTGTCTCTGTTCTTGCTCCTTCTAGTTCATTTCCTACGCTGCCACCATATTTGTCTTCTAAAGCACATACTAAACAGGTTATTCTCCAGTTGACATTCCTGTCAAACATACAGCAGCTTCACAAGATCTCTGTGTCTCACATAATTTGGGCAATACTGCTCACCAAGAAGTTTGCAGTAATTCTTTTTAGTTTCATCTTTTCAGAGAAAGGTGTGGACTTTGATCTCAGGCAGATGTAAGGTTGAATCTTGTACTCCACCAGTTTCTTAAATGTGCGGTCTCTCTGAAGCCTTAGTTTTCTCATTTGTAAAACAGGAATAATACCTACCTGACCAAATTGGTACGAGCTGAACGTGATAACATATGAAAAGCATTTAGCTAGTACCAAGCACATAGGTGTTCAGAAATCTAGTTCCTTTTCACTGTTATAAATGAGAAAACATACACTATAAAGGTTATTAGTAACTTTTAAATAACATCCCAAGCTCTAATTCTGTTCTCTTTATTTTCAAATATTATGAAAGTTACAATCTCAAGATTTTTTATTAAGAAAATCTTTATTTTCTGTATATGTCACTGATTCACTTACAGAGTATGACTATAAATAAAATATACTTTGTATAACCTATCTCATTGATGTCAAATGTAGCTCAGAAAAACTCCTCTGTTTGTTAATTTTTCTTTAAAATATCAAGGTATCAAGAAAGAATCATCTTTGGCATTTAGTAAACTCAAGAGATATTTAAGATTTTTATGGAACAATCACCCATATCATAAAATGCAGATACTCTTATTGACGCGGAAAATACTAGGTCCTTCTGATTTGTAGGTGTCTGGATCTTTAAATAACTCAGTCTAGTTTAAGATAAGTATTATTTTTAATTTAAAAATTTAACTTGCTTTGAGTAATAATACATTCGTGTAGTTTGAAATTCTAAAAATGCAAAAGGGAACACAGTCCCTCAGTGTCCCCTCCATGTTGTCCCCTCCCACGAGCAGTCAGCGCTGCTCGTCCTCTGTGTCCTTCGCAGTGTATTTGCTTTAAAACTCCCTGCTTTCGATCTCTGCTACAGAGACGTAACCGTCACCCTTTCTGTCTTGCTCCGAACCCTGTTGCGGTCACCCGTGTCTCCCACCCCACATTCCTGTTGCTGATTGTGGTGCCAGAAAGTTGGGAAGAGTGAGGCAGTTGACCTCCCAATTTTCTTTTGAAAGATTTCCGTGATGTAAAGGTCTCCAACTCTTTAATTGCAGTATCTAAGCAGTTAAGTCTAACTTCTGTTTGTCCATAAATACTAGCAATCAGGATTTTTATTATTAGAATAGCAGCTGATATTGTAAGTTTTTGCTTTTCGTCGTCTTGCATGGTCTTCCACCCCTTGAGACATGATAACAAACAGAAAGAGTTTCTATTTCTGTTTTAAAGGGCAAGTTTTGGAATATCCTTTGGCGTAATTGTTTCATCCTCACCTTCACACCTTCTGACTGTAGAGGATCACTTAATTTCTGATGATAAAAATTCCAAAAACTATGCAATTTCGAAGCACCTTTGGGTGATCGAAAAGAAAATTATGTTTAGCATAGATTTAGATTTATGTATCTAATTCTTTGAAAATCCTGTACATTAATATATGATAATTTGGTGATTAGAATATTTACTAGCTATATAATCTAAAGAAAATAATTTTTAAACTGTGTCATTGTGAGAAATGGCTGCCCTTTTTTAACATATTCTGTAACTTACTCTTGAAGTTTCAAAGACTTCATTGTAGTTTCAGTGCCTGAGTTTTACTGAGCAAATCTCCCTCACCCGACGCTGTTGTTCCCACTTAGCTCATCCTGTCTGGTGTGACACTGTAATATTGAATCTTTGAGTATCTTAATCTTTGAATTGTTAATTATTGTTAAATGTGCTGGTCAAAATATTTATATGCAGAATTTCCATATGAGCCGCAGTTTTATAAGTTTCATTTTCATTAGTCCCATTTAATGCCAGGCTTTTTGACCACTGTGGCACATTAGATCGTCTTCAGAATGGCCATGGGCATTGGTGCACGTTCCTTTCCTTAGTTACGGTGTCATGGGAATTCGGAACCTGTGATTGCATATAAGTACACTCCAGGTTACTTTTCTATAAAATTGTTACTCCCCCCAAGTAACTCCACAGCCTCAGGAGATTTTGTGCAGTTTTCCCTTGGCAGTTTGGCATTTTATTACTCAGAAGGAATTAGCACCGTCTGCATTCTTAATGACTTTATTCATTGTTCATTCACCATTTATTTGAGTGGCCGAGCTAGGCTAGGTCAGTCTTCACAGTTTTAACATTGTTAGAAATTTACTCCCTTCAAAGAACACAGATTAGTCAGCTGACTCGCTCATCACAAACCATATCTTTTCTCTAATACGTATTTTGTTCAAGTGATTTATAGTTTCTTACCTTTTATTGGTTCTACCAGGTTGCCATGGAAATGATTCACTCATCTATGGTACTTAAGATCCCTCTGGAATCCCTTATACGGAGATTTATACACTAAGCAAGTTGAATGCTTGCTGCAAGGAAGAAGCTATGCTTAGCTACCGGGTTAGGACAGTATCCTAACTTAGGGCCAGTGCAGGCATGTCTGATACTAGGCCCACCAGCAGTCCTACCTCTGTGCTCGAAACAGACGTAGCTAATTGATTGATGGTTCTGCGCTTCCCCCCAGACCCACGTCAGTGTCACCTTGGCCTCTGGCAGAACTCGGGGGGCTCCTCGGTCCACTAGATGGGATTTTAGTCTTTTCGAATACTGAGGCATGGTGCTTTTAACTGAATAGGCATTTTTGGCAGTCAATTCTAGTCTTGAGGTCTTTTAACCCATTTCCCATTTAGAAAAAAAAGTGCAGCTCACTGCCAGCATTAATTTAATTTTATGTAAACATGCTCTTTGAGATTGAAGCAAATCTGACTGGTTTTCAGTGTGAAAATAAAATATAAGAACTGTTCTTGGAGATATTTCTAAGCAGAACTCGTCTCCAATTCTAATGTAACAATGTGCGCATAAATCAGATTCATCAAATGAATCTTCAGCTAACAACTGTTCGAGAACAATGTTAACATCACACATAGGAGCGCTACGTTTCTAAGATTTGACATTTTCAGAGATCGAGAATTTTATAAATGGAAATACCACTACTAAAAACAGAATGCTGTAAATAGAATGATGTCATTTGTTTCCAAAGACTACCGATACACTAGAGCGATGCGAAAGTAGTATGAAAGTGAGATATTCCGTGGCAGACTTCGGGGGTGAGGTTAGGGCTGTAATCCGCGAGTTACCTCAGGGTAGACGCCGCAGCTGCCGCGCCTCCGGCCAGTATTCTCGGGGCAAAGGGGCCGTGGGTTAACAAGTGAATTTCCAGCAAGCTCTGAGGAGCTCAAGTATCCAGGTTTAGAAAGTGGCACAACATGCCGTTACTGGGTGGACCCTACAGAGAACCTGAACTCTGATTTTTTAACGTCAGTAAGATTAACATGTTCCTCTGCCTTTGTTTTAAAAATGTTTATCAATTATTTTCCATTGAAATCGTCATTTTGTAACGAAGTTTTACAGCTAAGTCAAGGACTAGCTTTTTAGGTGATTGTAGAAAAACCGAAAACAAAAATTATAGCAGTAACTGATTTCTAATGGTTCAATTCTGAAATTTAGGTACTTAACATGATTTTTTAAAAACAGAACTGTTATTTTTAGACACGAATTTGGACATTGGATCTGGACATGACACGTGTGGAGAAACCTCTTCAGAGAGTTACAGTTCTCCGTCTAGCCCACGACATGACGGAAGAGAGAGTTTCGAAAGTGAAGAAGAAAAAGACAGAGGTTTGCTCTCGGAGGGGGACGCGAGAGTAGTTGAGGGGAAATGCGTGTTGTCTCTTAAAATCATTCAAGCATAAGTAATTTTGTGTTCTTATAAATGCCATTTTTGCTTATAAATTTGATCTAGAAGGTGTCATTTGACCATCGACTTAGCAGGCCCAACAGTGTTGATTTTTTTAAACTTAATTCACTGTATATAGAAGGCAATTATATAGAAGGCAGTCATAAGAAAATGTAGAGTCGGTGTAAAAAGATTAAAAATTAGTATGTTATATGTTAGATGCACATACATTTATAATTTTTGTCTTCCCAGTGGATTGACCCTTTTATCATAAAATATTCTCCTTTGTCTGTAGTAACAATTTTTGTTTTAAAGAAATTTTATAGTAATTAAAATAATAAAGAATTACTCTTTTATCTGATAGTGATAAAGCCAGTCTAGCCCTCTTTGGGATATTGTTTACAGGGTACTTCTTTTTCCATAAACTTCTTTTACTTTAACCTATTCATGTCTTTGAATCTAAAGTGTGTCTCTTATAGATAGCATGTAGTTGGAGTATAGTTTTTAGCCTTTCTGCCCATCTCTGTCATTTGATTAGAGTGTTATGATCTTTTAAAATTTACTGTAATTATTGATAAGGTAGTACTTACATCTGTCATTTGGCTATTTGATTTCGTACATATTATATCTTCAGTTCCTCCTCAAACAGAGGCTCAGAATTCCGCCGGAAGTGAGAGTAGAACCTTCTCAGGTCTTTGCTGGGCACGGATACAGCCCCAGACCTGAGTGGCCTCCTAGACTCCCAGGAGTCTACTGAAGCTTTTCTAAGCTCCATGACATCTCATTCTCCAGTTTTCCTCTGAGACTCTGGTTCTGTGTTACAGTACCAGGTCACGTCTGAGGAACAATGGCAATAGCTCTGCTCTAGTACATACAGTTAAAGCCACTCTTTACTTCGCAGTTATTTTCAAGTCATGCCACATGGAGCATGCAGCGACTGCCACCAGTTCTGCCAGTCTGCGGCTACACTGCACTTCTGATAGCAATTTCCTCATCAAAGAAAAGAAGTGAAAGTAACCTCTGAGAGCTCTTACGAAGGTTCAATGAGAGCATTTTGATGCCTTACCCAGACTAGAGGAGCTTTCAGTAATTTCGTTTCACAGGTTATGCTTCATTCTGTAGGAGATACAGATAATCCTGTGGCTCTTAAGCTAACAGTGCAGATTTTAGCCTCTTTGTCAGAATTGTTAAAAGTACATGTGTTCGCATCGGTTACTTTGCAGCATCCCTTTTCTATCATCAATAGGGTGAGTTGCCGGGCCTGTGTGGAGGAACTTGCTCTTTTTCAGATAGGCTCAATTACCAGTGACTATATGAAGACTCATTTAGAGTTCTCTGAAACCAGTGAGGGGGGAATATACCACTGTGATAAAAAGCTTTGATCATTTTTAGAATTTCGAGTGCATGGAAAGGTTGCTTTGAAAACATGTGGCTTTGTCATTGGTCATAAGGGGGTTTTGTTTTGAGACTGTATACTTTTCAAAGTCAAAAAAGGCCAAGAACTATCTCTAAATAGCTAGACAAATCCTTACAGTGCTCAGAAAACCATTTGGGACCATTCAAAATCATGGGGCCATTTGCTATGACTTAAGGTTTAAATTAAAGCCAAGTTCATATAGAAATTTAATTGACCATCTGAAAAATGTTACGGCTTATTTTGGACTTAAATGCTTATCTTGAACTTGGTACTCATGATGATATAGATATAATGCCTTAAATAAGTTATTAGTTTTTGGATACTTTTTGTTTTGTGAAGTTTAGCAATAAACACTTCAATTATTAAGGGGAGTTTATGCTGGAATCATTTACTCATAAATTGAACCTCTTCTGTCTAATGTAAATTGTCGTAGTTGAATTAATAACCCGGCCAACACTGTCACTGAGTAGGTTCTGTGTAACCTTTCTCCAGAAAGACTTGTATGATTTATTTTTAGTGTTCTGTTTAAAAATTTTTAACATCGTAGCTGACTATAACTAGTTATTACCTTAATAATATAAACATTTTTAAGTAATACAGTTCTGCTTATATTTATGAGCAGAAAGATGTTAAAATAGGCATTGCATTGCATGGTCTCTATACATATTGCAGTATCTGGATTTATGATATTTAGACATCATGAGTTAGGTTTTATCTTTTGCCCCCTTTATACCAAAAGTCAGGCAATCCAGGGGAAGTCTAGGTTGGAGTGATTTCTGCATGCAGGCGTAAGCGATGCGCTGACGAAGATGAACGCAGCGTAGCTGTGTCCCTGTCACTTGACCATTTTGCTTTGGAGAAGTGGCCGTGCTGCCGTGTTTGCCCTGCTTGTTGTGTTCCGGCACATTTGTTACGTGGCTGTTAATCGTAGCTTTAAATTTTCTTTTCCCCACTGAAATATTTAAAAGTAAAAATGTTTATTCCATTCTAAAAAAACTTTCTTCCTTTCTCTACCTCTAGATATTTGAGTTCAATATAGTCTTGGTTGAGCTCCTTTAAATTGTATCATTTATGTGAGATGAATATGGAGACCTTGGGTTTAGCAGTGCAGAATATAAGTCAAATGAATCTCCTAGTTAAGGTTAAAGATACCCGATCCTTTTTTCAGTAATAAGGTGATATTAAATCTCTATTTTATACAGTGTTTCAGTCTCCAATTAACCTTTTGTTGCTTTTCTCTCCATGGATTTTTTTTTTTAACTTTATTTTTTAGAGCAGTTTGAGGTTTACAATAAAATCGAGAGGAAAGTACCGAGATTTCCCGTACCCACTGCAGCTCCCAAGCGTGGGTGGGCTCCCTCTGTCATGAGCATCACTCACTGCGGTGGTACATTTTTTACCAAGGACGAACCTACGCTGATACACCATTATCGCCCAGAGTCCACAGTTTACCTGGGAGTTCACTCTCGGTTGAGGGATTCTTTCAGTGGCTTGCTTTGGACAAACGTATGATGACACGTATCCATCATTATAACATCATACAGTGTTTTGCTACCTAAAATCCCACGTTCCTCCTGTTCATCTCTCCCCAATCCTCCACCCCGGCAATTGCTGATTTCTTTTATTGTTTCCATAGTTTTGTCTTTTCCGGAGTCTCTCGATATTTTAAATAAAGTCCGTAGAAAACCAGAAGTTAAAAGAAGGTCAGCTTGGCATTAGGAAGCTGAGGGGACACATTTATTTCAGTTCCAAACTTCAGAGGTCATTTTACATATAATTAGAATGTATCCTATCAAGAGAGATGGGAGTTAACACTTATGTTTGTTTCCCTTAGACACAGACAGCAATTCTGAGGATTCTGGGAATCCGTCAGCTTCCAGGTTTACAAGTTACGGTTCTGTCAGCCCGACTGTCACTGTCAAGCCACCTGTTGAAATTGCTTCATTAGGAAACGACAATGGAGGCCTTTTAGAAGATCCCCTAAACTCGCCCAAGTATCAGCATCTTTCTTTTATGCCAACTTTACACTGTGTCATGCACAGCGGCGCCCAGAAGTCTGAAGTCGTGGTTCCCCCGCGCAAATCTGCTGACGGCAGAACAATCGGCATGCTCGTTCCGAGTCCTGTCGCTATTTCTGCAATGCGGGAGCCCACCAGTTCAGCCCCTGGTGGGGTGCTGGGGCCAGCAGCTTCTACTGGAGAATCCGAAAAGCACCTGGAACTCCTGGCCGCCCCTTTACCTCTCCCGTCAGCGTTCCTCCCACACAGCAGCGCTCCCGCTGTGCACCTGACAATTCAGAGGCTGAAGTTGCCGCCGCAGGGGTCTTCCGAGAGCTGCGCAGTCAACGTCCCCCAGCAGCCGCCAGGGAGTCTGAGCGTCGGATCACCAAGCGCTGCCTTTATTCCTGTCCAGAACCCAGGCAGTTTTCCAGGATCTCCTGGTGCTGCCACGGACCCCATCACCAAACCTGCATCCCAACTGGTAGGACTCAATCAAATGGTGCCTCAGCTCGAGGGAAACACAGGGACAGTCCCTCAGCCTACCAGCGTGAAGGTAGTTCTTCCAGCAGCCGGCCTGTCAGCCGCACAGCCACCAGCCCCCTACGCCTTGCCGGGCTCTCCCCTCGCTGCCAGCGCGTTACCCAGCCAGAGTCCCGGTGTGCTCAGCACCGCGGTGACCTCCGCCCAGTCCGCGGGCGCGTGCGTCAGCCAGGCCCAGCCTGCGGGGCCTCCCGCGGTTCCCACGCACACGCCGGGCCCCGCCCCCAGCCCCAGCCCCGCCCTGACGCACAGCACGGCCCAGAGCGACAGCACGTACATCAGCGCCGTGGGGAACATGAGCGCCAGTGCCGCGGTGCTGCCGCCGCAGCAGATGGCGTCGGGGCCTTGCGGCTCCTGTGGGCGAAGGTGCAGCTGCGGAACCAGTGGGAGCCCGCAGCTCAGCAGTTACTATTACCCCGGCCCGGTGCCCGGGCCCGTGTACCGCGTCCCGTCGTTCTTCACCCTGCCACCCATCTGCAGTGGCAGCTACCTCAACCAAGCACACCAGAGCAACGGAAACCAGCTCCCTTTCTTTCTGCCTCAGACTCCGTATGCAAACGGGCTGGTGCATGAGCCGGTCATCGGGAGCCAGGCCAGCTACGGCATGCAGCAGGTAGCGTTCGGGAGGTACTACCCTTCGTACCCGGCGCCCGGCGTGGTCGCCAGCGCCAGCGGCTCGGGGCCCAAGAAGAGCGGCAGCGCTTCATGCTACAACTGCGGCGCCAGCGGGCACTACGCGCAGGAGTGCAAGCAGGCGCCCATGGAGGCCGGCCCGCAAGGTAACCACGAGGGCCCCCGGACGCCCCGCTAGTGCGCGTGCCCGCCGTCGCCGCGGACAGAGCCGGGGTGTGTGTGTTTACAGGTGTCGTGCTCTCAGTGACAAGTCATGAAACGCAGACAGCAGAACTTAGTATGTGCCCAGGTCACACAGCACAAGGAAGTTTAGAAAATTCGGTTTCCAAGTAAGGAATAAACAGTAAAGGCACTTTTTAAGGAGTATAATGGGAATTTGCATTATAGAATGTCCAATCCCTTGTTTGCAGCACTTTTTTTAAAGCTACAATCCTGTTTCATGTAAAGTGAGCAAAATTTTTAAATACTGAAAAACTAGGAAGTAGTGTAGTCATCTGACATGTCAGGTTTTTAGTTGTTAGTGTGTCTGCATAAGCAGCTGGCCTCAGCATGTTCCCCCATGCTACTCTTTTCCTTCCCAGGAGATGTGGAAAAAATGCTCCGGCATTTTAAGGAACAAAACGTTTTATGCACTGGTTTGGGAGTAAGGAAATTGGAATATTATTACCACTAGAAACAAGAAAACGTTCTTAAGTATGAGTAAGGCCACCAAATTTCATACAGACCTCAAACCGTGATCTTTCACTTGCCTTTGGCTTTCGTCATTTTGCCAAATCTCACCCGGAAAAAAAAAAGTCTTAAATTGGAAGTATATACTTGGCATTTTTAAAGGAAGCTGGAGTTTGAAAGCTTTAGGTCGAGCTTAAAGCACAAAACTTCATAGTACTTTCAAAAAGTAATTTTATTTACCATTTTGGAATCGTAATAGTGCAGGAAGATGTCTCTTCCCTCTGACCAGCATGCCCATTGGGTGTCTTGTAGTGGTTGTGATGCATTGCGTTGTAAGCAGTGACTTAGCAGTTCTGTCTTTCCCGTTTTAGGCACGTACAGACTGAGATACGCACCTCCCCTCCCCCCTTCTAATGATACGTTGGACTCTGCAGACTGAAACAAGTAAAGCTTGCCTACCTAATATACTGAAGTGTGGGGAGTCATGGTGGGGTGCGGAGGGGAGGAAAGGAAAGGTATTTTGTTCGTGTTTCTTTGTCTGTACATTTCCTAGATTTCTCTGCAGTTGGGGTTTTTCATTTCTCTTGTACTGATGTCTAAAACAAAAAAAAAGAATGCATTGCTTTTGAGCCTCTGGTCTCCTGGTTCAACAACAGGCTTATCTGTATGATACATGTAATTTAAACATCCAAACAAACTATCAAAAGGAAAATGTGGATGTGTGCTTTTTTTTTTTTTACACTGAATACTTGCTGTGTGCAATGTTTACTGAATCTTTAAAACTGTGTATTTGATCTTTTTTACAACACTGGTGACAGTCGTGAAGTTTGGAAAAAAAAGATACTTTGCTTCTTCCACAGCTTTCCTCACACCCTGAACTACATACAATTCCCTCCCAGCCACCCTCCTCCTGGTCGCACGCAGGCTGCAGGAGTTTGGGGCGGTGCGTTGATCCACACTTTTGTAAACTGCTCTGCATATAAATTGAGGGTAAACTGTTTCACCTTTAATGTTAAGGGAGAAATCAGATTCCCAAACTAGCGTGTATATCTCTAATAAACAGCGTCACTAAATGCGCATATGCAGCGCTTGCTGTCCAAATAAAAGTTAAACTTAAGTGGAAGGGAGAGGAAGAAGTAAAACCACATGAAACTAAAAGATACAGTGTATGAAGTGGACAGAGAGCTTTTTTCTTAAAAAAAGAAACAACTTTTAATTCATCATACTTTTTTAGCCTGTTGCTTCAGAGAGACATAAAGTGAACAAACCAGTGTGAATGTCGCTCTGCTGTGTTTGTGTTTGTAAGGACAGTCAACGCCAATGTAGTCTCCCTGTGTGGGGCCGACACTACTTGAGTAAGGATTTCTTCTTGCCCTACGCCAGCTGTTACAGTGTTACGTTGTATTAACGTGTATGGTTTATTGCGATCTGAACAGAAACTCTGCATTTCTGCAAAAGTCAGGTATTTGTTCCCTAACCTGTCTCTTATAGCAAAGTCACTTTTATAACAGTTTACCACTATGCTTGATTATAATGTGAAAGACTGAATTCTGAGTGTGTTAAGATGGTATTAATCATGTCAGTGTCATGTCACTAAGTTTAATGCTGCTGTTTTAAAAAAAAAAAAAAATTTTTTTTAAAGCAAATCTATGTACTAAATTGCTTCCAGGTAATTTTTGATTTCCTAAAGTGCACTGAGGTGGTCTGGAAGAGTGGGTGTATTTTTTTCTGACTGCTGCGTTCAACAGCAACGAGCAGCCACCCCTGTATAGTCACAGGGTATGGGCTTGGGCCCGGGCCCGGGCCTGGGTCTCTGTCCCCGCTCCTCAGTACACAGCAGACGTGAAGGGCATGTCGTGTGGGGTGGCCTTGGTGTGCAGCAGGGGAGCCTGAGCGTTTGTCTTGGATCAGAAGCCTACCAGATTGCTAGACAAAAGGAAAAACTTGAAGAAAAAAGAAGCTTCGTTTAATGCTTCATAGGTAGCATTTATATTTATAGCACCAATGTACATTTTGAAACTTTCAGGGGCGGGCGTTCAAGGGGAACAGGGAAAAAGGGGTGGGTGTGAAGGGGTAGATGAAAGCTTTAATTTAAAAAAAAGTTTGAGTAAAGGAAATTATTTTGATTAAATATATTTTATTTGATCTGGGTATTTTTGGACCACGTTATTAAATTAATTGTTAAGCTGCAGTTGAGTTGTTCAAGTGAGAGTTTTGATAAGCCACGTATTGGACCGCATTGTGACTCACTTGCCAGTTGTACTTTATGGAGCTTATTTTATGATTTAAAATACTGTACTGTACATAGGAGGTATATGCTACCTTCTCCTTATTTGTATGTTTACCATATACTTTGATATTTGAAATGTTATGTACTGGAAAGGCCACTTATATTTCTAGAACAGATTGGATTTTATGCAACCTTTTTTTCTTGAATTAACAGCAATAAAAAAATGAAAAACAGCTTAAGAATTGTGCTTTATTGCAAACTGTATACAAGTGAAAGATAGGACATCATACATCACAATTTTTTTCTTTTTAAAGAACCAACCCACTATTTCCGTGTAATATGGGCAGTGAATCCCAAAGTGGTTCCCCATCTGGATGTCCTTCAGTTTCCCCCAAACTACCTGACTTTATAGGTTGCTGTGTGACCACTAGAAGAAGAGACTGCATTGCTTTGTGCCAGAGGCTGCTGCGGTGGCCAGGTAGGTGTCCTCGTCACCCTGGAGCCGTGTTTCTGGTGTGGGCGGGCCCTTCCTCCCCAGGAGTGGGGGGGCTTCACTTACGGCCTTGAACTTACCGATACGGTTTCCAGGCAGCTCTCTCAGTGCAGCATTGAGTATCTTTTTATTGAACGTTGGTTCTATCTTCTATAATCCGGTCTCAAGTCACTCTTTACATAATCAGTAATTGATAAGAGATTATGGAGAGGTGCTTTCCAAGTATCCACAGGTCAGTTAAGTCCTCTGGCGATGGCTGAGGTCTTGTCGCTTGGCCCAGGCCCCGCGGATTGTCCCCCAGCATTGCGCGCAGTAACTTGGAAGGGCTCCAGCCCTCAGGGCACTGAATGATTGTCTGGAGCCATCTGATGAATGTCCTCTCTGTACTCAGTGAGCAGTGGGTTTGAAGTGATGCCAGAATCCCTGATGGCAAACAGTGCACCAGCTTCCCCTTCAGCCGGCAGACACGCACCTGTACGTGACACGTAACTTCCGAGCTGCCTTTAACACGCTCTTCTCCAGTGTCAGCACCTGGGTCCTTACCCTTCCCTTCCCCTTCCTCCACTGCACCAAGGTACCCACTCCAAATGTTCTCACGTTTCGCATCCTCCTCCCCCAGGTATCCTCAGGTTTTATCGAAAGGGCATCCTGGACCTGTCTTGTGTGACTGTCACAACTTATCTGGTTTTATGGTCCTGGTGTACTCTCCTGCAGTTTAGTCATGTCCACTAACTTTACAATATTCCATTGCAGTGGGGGACATATAAAAAAATATATATATATATATATGCACACATAATTTGTTGATTTTATCAGCAGGTATTTGGGTGGGTTTTGTTTTGCTATTTAGGTGATAGATTAGATAGCTAGATAAGATAGACAAGATAGCCAGCCAGCCTTTGGGACCAGCCTTCTGGTTTGCAGGTGGAAGAATTTTCTCAAGTATCTTGAAGTGCAAGTGCCAAGTTGTAGGACATGCAAATATTTAGTTTTCCAAGACGTGCCATTTTGCTTTCCAAGAGGTTCACAGCCACAAGCCCCTTGGTCTGTATATCCTGCCGCCCTGCTGAAGTGGTACAGCGCTGGCTCCAGGGAGGGTGTGGCGAGGGGGGGGCCTCGCGTGGCCCCACAGGGTTTGTGTAAGGCTCCTGGGGGAGGTGGGCGTGAAGAGCCCCGCGGTGCAGGCCGGTTTGGGGAGGGGAATGCAGCCTCACTGGGCAGGAAGTGCGATTTGTGGTTCAATAGAAGAGTCAGACAAGATTTTAGGGTCAACTGAATGAAACTTTGGGAGTTACCAAGTTTTAAATAGAGGGAATGGTCAGGCGGTTGAGCATACAGCCTGGATTCGGAGACCAGTTAGGGTGAGGCAGTGGCCAAGGGAGGGGGCGATGCAAGAGACGAGTAGAAGGAGACTTGAGCCTCTGAGGTTCGTTTTCCCTAGAGAGAAAATAAGGTTCTTTGTTTTAAACTATGGCCATGAGCATTAAGTGAAACATGGGAAAGGTCCACCGTAGTGAATGAGAAAGCACCGGGAAGGCACTGCGATGGTGGTTGATCTTAACTTTGATGAACGGGAGAATTGCAGTTCTGTTCGAAGGGACAGGGAACTCATGTGAGGGACTGAAGGCCACTTCCTGCGGGTGGCGAGGTGCCTGGCAAACGTGGTTCTTCATTACATTAAGGTTGGTTCAGCGCTCTCCACGGATAAATGAAATAAGTATTCCTGGTCCTCAAAAATTAAGTCTAACCGGAGAGCTTCCCAATTAATGGCAGCTTTGGGCTATAAAAACATCAGCACCGAAATAAGATGCGTTCGTGACAAGGCAAGCGCACATCTACTTTTCTTATGTTTAAGTGCTAAAATCAAAATTTTCTGAGAAGGTCTCCAAAAAGATTAAATCACAGTGTAAAGAAATTTTTTTAGCAGGGAGCATCTCGTACTCATCCATTTCAACTTGGAAGACACCTCTTTTCAATTCTGCATACCGATTATAAAAGCATTCTAAGGGTAAGGCATTGAAGCGATTGGAGGCAAGCTGTGACAGTGGTTCAGCCCCCATAACCCTCCCTCATTTCATCTCAAATAAAAATGCTGAGTTCCCCGACCCCGTCCACCCCACAGGAAGGGCCCACTTATTTTTATTTTCGGAGAAGTTGAGGTGTGGGGGCTGAAGCGAGCAGGGGGTGCTCAAACAGGGTCACTGTATCTCTGGCCCTTTCTTACGGGGGATTGGGGGGGACCGGCTGTTGCGAGAATGGAGGACTCTGGGATCCAAGGGTTAAGAGGCCGCCGTGAACTCAGGCACAGGGCGTGTGCCACCTGCAGCGCCCACAACCCGTCACACGGCCCTGGGCAGAGTCCCGTGATGTCCACTGGTACGTGGGCTACACAGTTTGGATTCTTAGGGTCAGCCTCACATTGATTGGCCCTCTTTGAAACAACGTGAGCCCTCTAGATTGAGCCTGTACACGTCGCTTGACGCCTGTGTGTACACGTGCCTGTCCATCTTGGAAGCACTGGGGCTCTAGGCTTTCTCATGGGCCCTGAAAGGCACCGTCACAGTGGGGACATCAAAGACCCTTCCTGCAGTCATACTTTCGCAGTGACCGCAGGCCTTGGTCACTGGTGCTCCTATTCCCGAGATCCTGTTTTGCTACTTGAAAGTTGGGGTTGAGGTGGAGGACCGGCGAGGCTTCGTTGTTTTTTATCTCGCAGCTCCAACTTGATCTCTGTTAAAAGGTCTCGGCTGGCCTCGCCCCGAAAGAAACTGCTGATTGGGAAGCAGCGCCACCTCGTGGCGGATGAGGACAATGCATACAAGCAGATGTTACTTACCACTGACCTAATTTAGAGAAAATTTGAACATAAAACAAAACATTTGAGATTGTAAGCCTGAGCCCAAAACGTATAAGAATGCAGGCAGCTGGCCACAGAACTAGTTTTAGCCGTCTCCTCTTTCTGCCGTTCCAGCCTCAGTGTGTTACGAACGCATCAGCGGCACCTTACAGTCCCCTTCGTCCTCTCCGCCGTGCTCGTCCGTCACAGCTGTGAAGGGCATGGGCTCTCCCTCATTTCACGGATGACAGACTTGGGGCTCAGAGGGCTTAGATGCCACAGACAGGCCACTGAGGGAGGCCAGGCCCCAACTTCAGACTACTGCTGACTTCCCGCACTGCTTCCTGCTCCACAGGCACTTGCTCCTCCGTGGGACACGACAGGGACCCATGAGGCCCCCAGATTCCTGAGACAGGTCCTGGCCAGGTCCTAGTGGGACAGAACGTCTCTTTTCTGTGTCTCTGGTGAAGGATTTGAAGATGGGGGGTGAAGGAGAGTTTCCAGATGAACCTCAGGGCTTTTAGAACTAGGCTTTACATTCCTGCCTGTCTTGGACGAACTCAAGGGGCAGCAACTCTTGCCTATGTCCAACGCCTTAAATGTGCACAAACACCCTCGGTTGGAACACAGAGCTTTGCTCTGCAAAGGTTTCTATTATCCCCAGGTGTCTGGATAAACCGAGCATTAAGTGACTATTCCATTAGTTTTAAGACTTAAGAACTGAAGAAATGAAGTAGTAGGGCAAGCAGAAAATGCAACTGCTGATATTTTTTAAGCTCCAGCATTTGCATACAGATTGTCCCAGGCTCTCTGTCTACCAGCCACCACCACGCAGAAACACTCCAAAGGCCAAGAATGACTCCAGCAAAGTCACCTGCAAGCAAGAACGTGGTAGTCACACCCACACCAGAAGCCCTCTGAGTGCTAAGAACGAGACTGAGTACCTCATAGTTACTTAAGTGCTGCTTCTTGCTGGCGTGTCAGGCTTGGGGCATTTGTAACATCGTAACTTAGTCGTGCATTGGATGCCTTCAGCACACGGACTTGCTCGGGAGGCGGCACCAATCGTAGCTTTGTTCCCAGCACCCACCCCCAGCACACATGACCTTCCTCAGGCTTATTTACAGAATGGGGGTAAATCACTTTGTAGGCTAGTTACAACGGTTAAATTTGACAAACTACATGAAGCACTCAATGCCTGACACGTAGTAGGTACTCAATAAATCCGTAAGGCCGTTAGAGGCCAGGAACTATTAGCTCATTTCAGCTTCACGACGGCCCTATGAGGTAGGTCCTCTGCCCCATTTTGCAGTTGGGGAAATCGAGGCACAAAGGCTGAGAGTCCAAGGACACAGAGCAATTAAGCAACAGGGCGGGGACAGGAACCCACGGCTCTTCCCCGCTGGGCTACTCCACTTCTCCGGAGCCCGTCACAGGACGCTTCACAGGATGTCAGTGTGAGCGTGCGAGCGCCCTGTGCCAGCATCGGGCAGGCGGGGCCGACGGACACGCCCTGGACCCTCGTCTTTCTTACCCAAGACCTGGGCGCCTCATCAGGAAAGGGTGGTGGAACTCGAGTTCAACGATCTCAAAATTCTGTGACTTGAAGCTTTTCACTTTAAAAGATTTATCAAGATTTTCTAATTCTTTGCATTTATTTTTTGTTGAACTGATTTGGAGTCCTTATTGAGTGTGGTCAGCAACAGGGACCCCACCGATCACCCTTCGCTGATGGGAGGTGAAATGTTTTCCAGGCCCTTGGGGACAAACTGAGAGGAAAGAGCTCGCACAGGGCCGACAGGTCACTAGGCGGCAGCACGAGCCTTGTCCGGCTCAGGAGCCACGTCCGTCCGCATCACCCTCTACCCCAGTTTCTAGGCTCTTCTCTACTTGTCCTGGTAAAGTGTTCA